GATATGTTTTCCGAGGTATTATTCGGTCATTGAAATCTCTGTCGTTTGCACATAGCGATGTCTGGAGAGAAGGACAGGCAGTATTTTCCGCATCAACCTACACAAGGCTATTCACCTCATCAGCACAAGAATTGATACGTTGTGACTTTGCTCAACGTGTAATGTTTATGTCGTCGAAGCTCTTCGGTGAAGGAAATATACCACGCTAGAAGAGTCTTACTTGCGATACACTAACCTATCTTGGTCAAGGATATCGATACCGGCCCGGCCCACATTACAGCGGCTGTGAACGTATTATTCGTCTCAGCCTCCCAGCTTTCTCCCAACTTGTTCCTGGCAGAAGGTGAGGAGCGAATTTTGGATTCAACCGGAGAAGCAATAGTTTTATATGCTACTCGTACCTCGTCGTTGTCCCCTCCAATCCGTGTTTTTCCGGGCTGCTTTTCACTTCCCCAATTAGACTCGGGCCCCGCGTTCGGCATCGAGTATCACAGAGCTTTTTTGCATGTATATTGGTTGTACATATGTAATCATCAAGCTGCTATGATACTGGTGTGGACAATCCTACCGGAAATTACGATTTGGTAAGAAAATAGGCTATTCATTCCAGTCATCACCCTGCGCCAAGAGCAGTCACTTACTCAATTATATATACGTAGACGAAGATGCCTCTCAAGAAAGCCGCTGAATCTTCACTCGGCCCTCCGAGGAGTGAAACGCCTCAATGGCTTCAACGCATATTTGTTGGTGCTGGTCTGCTTGTAGTTGGGAAATGGGCAGCGAGTCTATTCTCGAGCGGTTGGATGAGTGACAGTACTTTGGATCATGTGAAGGATTCTGTGGGCGGACAGAGCTCTGACCCGTACCTTTCGAACTTGACGGAGCCATGGAGTAAAGTAAACAACCTACCCTTGTTCATTCGTGACCGCATCCATTGCTTGCAGGCAAAGATTCTATAATATCATTGCATGGCGAATGATTTTATATGGCAGTACTTAATTCTCTTCGCAGATCACCCCAAGCAAAGAGATCGAGTACCATGACTGTTTCGGCGACTTCCAATGCGCCCGCTTAGATTTGCCCATGGATTGGAACAACACCGAGCCTGGCGACCCTCGCGTTGGTCTAGCGGTGATAAAATTAGCTGCAAGAGTACCTGTCACAGATTCCAGATACGGCGGACTTCTATGGGTCCAGATTGGTGGCCCTGGCTCATCAGGCGTCGACTTCATCATAAAGCACGGGAAGACTTACCAGATGATCGTAGACTCCGACGTTGACCCTTCACTCGATGACATTGATATTCACATTTCTCCAAAGTACTATGACATCCTTGGCATGGACCCTCGCGGTGTCAACAACACGACGCCACGTTACTCATGCTTTCCGACCGCGGCTTCGAGGGATATCTGGACTCTGCAGTCAGGCGCGCAGGGTATCAGTGGGAGTTCCGACGATGCATTCAACAATGTCTTCGAGAGAACGAAAGCTCTTAGCGAAGGGTGCTCTAAGCGTGTTGCAGGTGGCGAGAACGTCGAGGACAAACTGGCTTATCACATGAACACATCCCCAGTCGTTGCAGACATGGTCGAAGTCCTCGAGCGGCACGGACAATGGCGGGAGAAGCAAGCGTTAGCCAGTATTGGTCAGTCAAGCGGGCACTATGCCACTGCCGCCAAAGAGAGGACAAAATGGCAAAAAGGGGAAGAGAAGCTCTTATACTGGGGTCTTTCGTACGGCACAGTGCTCGGTGCAAACTTTGCAACTATGCAACCCCATCGCATCGAACGTGCCGTCATCGACGGCGTAGCTGACGCAGAAGATTTTGCTCGTGGTGAATGGTTTACCAATCTTCAAGACACCGACAAAATCATTCCGAAAGTCTGCGAATACTGCGACAGAGCCGGTCCAGACAAATGTGACCTGTACACAGAAGGCGGCGCGCAAGCTATCAGCGACAAATTCGAAGACACGGTAAACTCCCTTTACGAGAATCCCATAGGTGTTCCTGCCACGGGCTCCATGGCACCAGACCTCATTACCTACTCAGACGTAATGTCGGCGATCCGGCCCGCCCTCTACGGACCCATAGGATACTTCCCCGATTTTGCAAGAATGCTCAACGATCTCTCGAAGGGGAACGGCACTTCATTGGCCATGGTCAAACAAGCTTCCCAGCGCGTCTCTACGCCCAGCGAAGAATGTCTCGACGCCCCACCCTACGCGCCGGGATGCCGGACCCCAGGTCCAGAAACACAGCTAGCGATCTTGTGTACGGACGGCGATTTTAGGACATATGAGATGAGCAAAGCAGATTACGGAGCCTACGCTGACGAACTACGGCGGCAGAGTCGATGGTTAGGCGAGTCATGGGCTCATATTCGCATGCAATGCGTGGGCTACGATGTCCGACCGAAATGGCGAGTCCCGGGACCGTTTACCGGGCAGACGGCAAAGCCGATGTTGATTTTGGGAAATACTCATGATCCTGTTACGCCGATCCGAAAGTAAACCTTCTCCAAACCCCCTTCTCCACATCACCATACCATCTGATACTGACCACAAAACAAGTGCCCACACTATGGCTTCTCGCTGGCCCGGCTCTGTCGTCTTAGCATCGGACGGGGAAGGCCACTGCATGTTCAGCTCCCCCAATTTGTGCATGGCGCGATATATCCGAAAGTACTTCCAGACTGGAGGAATGCCACCCAAGGGCACAGTGTGCGAGGCCAACGAGAGGCCATTTATCGGAGTCACGAAGCCGCCGGAGGAGGGTGAAGAGGCCTTACTTGAGCGGTTGAGGTCGGACGCGAGGACATATCCTGAGTGACTAGGTAAAGAGATGGATGGCCTGTTCCTGTCCTTCTTTTCGTTTTCTGATTCCTTGGAACTTTGGCTATTCTTGAATCCGAACATCTGGAGTGATACATATTGATAATACTGGTGATGAAGTAGGATAAGACGAAGATCAGACTATCGTGTATGCTCTCATCAAGATTAAAACCCAGCGAGGGCGAATCACCGAAAACTCTTTCTGTTGGCAAGCGTTTGTAGAGCAGTAGCCAGCCAGTGCTAAAGACGATAGAGGAACCCTCACTACTTACCATCTCTATCATGGCAGCGAGCAAGTTCCATCCTTTGCGCTCGTAAAAATATTACCCCGTAAGTCAATTGCGCACGGCACCTCACGCTATCATCGCTCGATATTGGATGTATTAAAATGACAATGCCACCAATACATGCGCTCCGTGCTAGGGCTCACCGCGCCCGCAGCTGACGAGGTCGCCACATCTTGCGCAGAAAGACAAAAAGTTTGACACAACGCATGGTCAGGAGGGAAGAGCGTAAGCCGGACTGAGGCTGTATCATATCGGATGCACTAGCCTTTCAATACCTTAGCCGTGTAGCCACCAATATCCGCTTACGCGCTCTCCATCTGCAACCACCCCTTCCTTGCCTTGGAAGGTCTTGGTACCACGACAGAGCCTGCCTAACCTGAAAGCAAGTATATCCTCGATGATGCCTGGGGGCCATGGATCGAGCCCGAAGACGATGTGTGGCGATGCTGACGTTTCTACTCTGTGGGCTGCCTTATGAGACCTCCAAACTTGCAGCTCTGTGTATGAGATTCCGCGGGTGCATATGGCGGATGCTCGATGACAGCGAAGAGGGTGGGGTCCATTGCCTTTTGCTTTCCCTGATTTGTCCTCTCGTTCAATGGCAGACCTTTGTAAACGATTGGATATGAAGCCACAGCTCTGATTTTCTTGTACATGCATGGCCGATTGATTGGGAAATGGGCGCATTTTGGTTGTTCGCGACTCATTTCAGCCAGCTACTCCATCCATCGATTTCGCTGCGGCCAGCGCAGCCCAGGAACCACACCGAGTATGAAGAAGATGAAAGTCTACCGCGGCTGTGGGAAATTGATTTCGGCTATGGGAGAGCCGAGATCAACGCATGGACTTCGTTGTCTACCGTATGAAGTATCGTGACAAATTCCAACGAGAAAGCAAGCATCCGCCAGTGGCAACGGGAATGCCAGCCTCTTTCGATGGTGAAGAAACGATGAGGTTCAGCATAGCGCAGGGTATAAAGATGCAAAACCCGGATGGGAATGCTAATTATGGAGTAGCCCGTGCGGATATACAACAACGGTACAAAACCTGGCAGATGTCTGATCTTCTAGAAGCTCACTGGCCCACTATTAGGTCAGATGCGGCGTGACCTCGTTGAGTAAGTTCGCATTCAATCCTCGTGGCTGAGTCAAGTAAGGCTTATTCAGAACACATCCTTACTCTTTGACAGATGACGAGGAAGAAGACAGTAGAAAGAGTCCTTTCTAGAGCACCATCCCGCCGCCTCCATTCTTCCGGGAAGTATCAACGCTCTTCTTTTCAAGCTTCATCCGAGCAATATTGAAGGTCCTCTTTTCAAGGTTCGTCGTGCATCCAAACATCCTTGTTCTATCGATTACTCATACATGATTCAACCAAATGTGATTCGTTCCGCGCCTCCTGTTGCTGCCTCCAGACTCTCTTTGAGGGTCTAGAAAGATAACGTTAACAGATTTCTTCGAACTTTTTCCATCCGTTCCCTTCTGCGCTTCCTTCTGGTTCATTTCCTCCTGCTTGTTTCCATCTCTATCCCATCCACTGGCGGGGGTCCAAGATTCAGAGGTCCAGCCCTACCGGCCAAGACATTTTGGACCCCAGGCGCCAGTGGATGGGATAGCAGCCACTCAACTCCGCGCACGGGATGAACAGAGCCAGATTAGCGGGTCTGTACTGCTCACCCCCAACACTTTCACGAGGGTTCATTGTTCCTCCCGAGAATCCTTCATTCGGGCAAAGTTCGTGGAGGAGAAGGCGGTACCAAAGGGAAAGTGTCTCAGCACTCGTTGGTACCTCTCAAGGCCAGTCGGTAGAGTTGCTGGACTTCAACGGCAAGTCGAAATTGCTACTCTGAACAAGCGCGAATGGATCGTTTCCTTTTTGGCATCATGTGCTGGTTCCATCCCCTACGAGCATCCAGTTGTCATCAAAAAGCGTTTGCCAGAAAGCATCGTCGAAGACCGGGAGCGACTCTCCTGTGTCAGTCGTTTCGAGGGACCCATTAGGGTCGGTGGGCTTGTCATCCATCCCTTCATACTCAATCCTCGAAACGCGTGATGATTCGTACCATCGTAATGCGTGATGTACTTTCCTAAGGAAGCGGATAAACACATCTTTCCCATACATAGCGTTTTCTAAGACGAGACCGCGTCTGGAAATTGTCTCTTCGATCGACGTGACTTGGCTGTGCAGGATATCAGGGAATGTGAGAACATTTCGCGCATGCTGCAAATCCCAACCATCGGCCTCAGTGGTAAGAAGTTTGACGGCATTTAGGAGTGCATAGTTAAATTGAGCCCACAGTGTAAAGCAGATGCCGGATAGTCTTCCGACAAGGATTGATGAATAGACGCCAAAGACTTTCCTCGTCGCCAGGAGACTGGCGTAGATAAATTCGAGTCTTCCCGTCCTATCGAAGACTTGAAAACCGACTCGGGGTAGGCACATAGGGAAGTCAATCTCGTAAAGAGCGATTTGGGTAGTGTGATATGTTGCGAGTAGAAGCTCTTGAGTAGACATGCAGTTAATTGATGCACTTCTTATGGATTGTACAGGAGGCTTACTATTTTGTTGAGACTCAACGGGCAGTGAAGCCCAGAATGTCTCCAGCTCCTTTTGCCACGCTCTCACAAACATCTCTACAGGAGCGTCTGGTCTTCGAGAAGCAAGGGATTCGTCGTATGGAAAGCTACGACTCATGCGATACCAGATCTCTTGAAGGCGCACAAGCTGCGCTAGTACAACGTCACTTTGATACTCTCCAGCCTCTTCGAGCTTGTGACAGCATTCTAATATGTAGGATGTGTTGAATTGTGGCTCCAAACCTCGGCAGCTGGCAGATATCCTAATCAAGAGTTCAAGCTCCATGGATGAAATAGACACACGTGAGGTCAGAAAATGAAAGAAACGTACACAGATGTCAGATAGAAACAGCCAGCAAGGGCTCGCCACCCGTCAAACCTGCTAGACTCTAATCCATGGGATGACTGAGTTCTGGGTTTAAAGGATTCGTGCCCGTCCAGGAAGAATTTGCCACGATCGTAGGTTGTCTGTGTGCGATTCAAGCCCATATTGTTGATCAAAGCCTTAGTCAAGTGAAGCAGATTGGTGATTTGTGGGTTGACGAGAGTGTGATAGTGGTACCTGCAGTGCCATCAATGCTTGCAGTTCTACCAATGTAGTATCGGCCAAGGGATCGAAGAGCATATAATTCGTACCATGCAATGAAAACCAGTAGCGCTTGAAGCAGGTCGAGAGACACTTCGGCTCTCAACAGCAAGCGCTTAGTGAGATCCTCCATCAGATCAGCCCCGAGTACCATTTGGCGATACGAGTTTCCATGCGACGCCGCAATGATGATAGCTTTCCAAAGCAACGGTCTCTCTTGATGAAGGCTTTGCGAGGTAATATACGGGTCTACCACAACGAAAGGAAACTGCTCTGTCATATTTTCCTTGAATTCGAGTAGCAAATCTTGTGCTTCTTGCTCATGGGGGTCAAGCTGTGACATGCCTTGACACGCAATTGACAATTTTTCAACGGTCGTAGTACACACAAGGTCAGCTGGGGCGATAGCGCCACCGAGGATTTTCACGGCGGTTGTTTCTGCGTCCAAATTGATTGACTGAGGCGTTGCAATGGAAAGTCCAGCTGTCGATGCATTGGAATCCAGAGACATTGGTGATCTTGGTAAAGGAACACCGGACGCCTGACTCAATGGCGTCTTTTGTGAGGCAGATTGATTGGATGTTAGTAAAGTAACTAGACCGTCTAGCTTCTGTTCTAATTGGGCAACGCGTCTAAACAGGAGATCAGTCGCGCGTGGGAAGGGAAAAGGCTGACTCGGTACATACGTTGGCTTCGACGTCCGTGTACGCTTACGGCTTGGCCGTTCGTGTAAGAAGCATTGCTTTTTCAGACGATGACACCTGCGGGATCTTAGCTATCACCAAAAGGCTACTGCGCTTCCTAAAGAATGGTAAATTACCGCTGGCAAATTCCCTCGACCGCTGGGTGAGGGGTACACTTGGCCTTCGCCTTGACACACATGGCACATGCTCGGATGCTGGACTGCCTGGAAGGACTAGGGACAGATTGAGGATTCTCCGCCATCAGAATCGATTCTCCCCCATACCCCATTGGAATAGGCTGTTCAATGGCCTGCATTCCTGCAGCTTCCTTTCCGATCTGCTGAAAATGTTTCAGTAGTACGAGGCACACGCAGCATGTCGGACGGAAGAAAAAATGAAAGCCTTCTTCCGTGCTTGGAGTTGGCGATTATTAATGTCAGATGTAAAGGAAGAGACGGAGTCGGAGAAATTTCGAAGATGCCGATTAGCTGACTCATCTGGCCTTGGCCAATCAAACCCTTGCACGTAGTGACAACCGCATCAGATTGAATTTCCAACTCCGCTCGGGCACATTAGATCCAACAACATGGATAAATAAGTTACTCGTGTTAACTATTCAGACTTATTTATAGAGACGGCTATGAGACTGTGCTCAAATTGAACCGTTGCACAACGTTATCATCAACAAATTTGGGGGCGGGACGCGCCTTCCGCTCAGCCTCTTGCTCCTGTGTTTCATGGAGTGACCTCCAAGGCTAAAGTATGCAGTGCTATGCCAGGATGGCAGGGTTGCTAATCAATGCTGTGCGCGTGGAAGACCACCACAAGATGAGAAGAAAGATCGAAATCATTCGAAAAGACTTCATTGTCGACGAACGGCTTTGTGTCTTACAGGGGACAAAAAGAAAGCATCGATAGTCAGAGGGCTCATAGTGCGCTATGATACAGTACGTCCTCAACTAAGTAGAGACACCGGAAGGCTTCGTGCTCATTGGTTCTCTTGAAAAGCATTCGAAGAAATCGAGCTATGAAGCTGTTATTCCCCGTATCTATGATCCTTAACGGTCTAGTATAGGGAATCCCATTCGCAAAAAGACTGTCAAATATAACTAGCCTTGCTACTGTCTAAACGTAGCCATTCTTCATTCTAACTTATGCTACGTCCGTTGGTGGATTCTCAAGCGCAGCTCGAGGATGGAACTCCTTGGGTCTTCAAGCCAACCCAAGTACCTACAAACCGGCCGGTTCCGACGATTCAACGACTACCATTTTGCGCAACAATGCGACCTGATGGTCCTGACCTCAGGCTTTGACTACTATTGCAGCATTGACTCTGGCTGGTCTTTGAACGGCGGTGACCAGTATGGACGTATCGTGCCCGACAATGCCAACATATTCACTCGGTGCAAGTCTTTGGCAGGCTTCGTAGATCATGCACATAACAAAGGCTACAAGATTGGCATCTACCTACTACCCGGTGCCTTCGTCGGAGATGGTGGGATCACTATTGAGAACACTACCATCAAGATTGTGATGTCCTTGATACTAGCGTGACCTATAATCTACGGCAAGCATTCAACTGGGGCGCCGACGGCGTCCAGCAGTGGCATGACTCTATTGTTTGCAATCTGGCGTCGATGTAAGCAACCCCAAAATGACGCTCTCGAAGCATCTAAGTACATTAGCCATGGAACAGCGGTGTTGATATGCTTAAACTCGACTACCTAACGCCTGGATCTCCCAACCCCGGCGAGACATTGCCAGCGGACACCAGCCAATCCGTTGCCAAATATCGCCAAGCCATCACGAATTGCGGCCTCAGCATCAGTCTTGACATCTCATGGGGTCTCGACCGAGACGAGCCGGAATGGGACGTCTGGAAGACGAACGCTGATACACTGCGCCTCGATACTGATGTCAACAATGATGACTATGCTTGTGACTCTCAGACTCTTAATGCCCCCAAACCCCATACGCCATCGCAGCGCATCTACCTTCACATCCTTCGACGCGGTCCAACAGGTCATCGAAGCCCACCGCGTCTTCATAACCCCACAACCCCTCGACCGAACCCGACAAACCACTCCCGTCGCCATCCGCCCAGACATGGACAACACCTACGTCGGAAACCCACAATCCCTATCCGGTTGATCCGACATCCAACGCTACACCATGGCCGTCCATTGGATCGGCGCTGGCGCAAACATGATCACAGGTTTCAGACCGAACGACCCGGGAAACTCTAGGGTCCATGCTCAAATACGACGACGACGAAGCAACGGCACAGACCGCCTTCACCGCCACGTATCCTATGCAACCGCGCAACCGCACCGGCTCGCCCACCGTCGGTGCTTCAGATGCTCTCCAACTCCGAGCCTGGATCGCCGGCCCCGGTCCCGACGGTACCGCGGCGGTGGTGTTGGCGAACTGTGGCTCCGACTCCTCCCTCGCCAAGCGCGGAAGCGCCTGTGTCGCTTTGGGGACCTGTCTAACATATCGTTCAGAACAATTGGTAACCATTCCGCTGACCGCGCTGGGCATTGGGACTGGGGTGGAGAATGGGGCTGAAGCTTGGGATGTGAGGAGAGTGTGGGGAGGGGGCGGGAGTGGAGGCCCGGATCATACTGATGTTGGGAATTGAACTGATACGGCCTATTGTAATCTGGGACCCGGGGAGAGCGTGCTTTACATGTTTATGAAAGTGGGTAGTTGAGAGCCATGTGGATGTCAGTCTTGAATGAGAATCCGGAATTCAAGTGTTCCAATTGCTGTAGATGATGCTTCGAGAACAAGTGATTTCAGACCGAGAGCGACCTTTGCCTCAATGGTGCAGGACTTCCTCTTCCAACTTTTTGACACAGACTGAGGAGCACGAGGTGCCAAAGCCACCCAAGCTTTACCATCGAAAGGATGCACGGCGAAATTTGCTTCCTGAGAAAGAGCCTGCCACTACCACAACAGTTCCTCAAAAGGTCCTCCATCTCGCAAAGTGTCACTATCTTCCCATGCGTCCCACTGACTCCCATCATCCTCGTAACAAAATTTCTCAGTAGGCTCAAACATGTATTGTTTTCTCACACAGTCAGCCACAGCAAGATTGTAGCTTGAGCGATCATCAGTATCACTTTGCGACCGGTAGGAGATTCGCATCAGTGACAGTTCAGGGGAGTTTTTCGCGGAGTCTACCCCTGCTGCGATCATCCTTTTGTAGAGTGGAATTGCGGTCACAAGGCACGATTTTGCATCAAACTCATTATAACCGTTGTGAACTTCATCGGCAGCTTCAGGGAAGGATGGAAGGCTGAGCTTAATGATCAGTGTCTTCAATCTTGATCCGACATTAGGTATTAACGAGGAGCTTCGAAGGACTTGAGGGCAAATGCACCGCAGCCGCAGTCTGACATTCCGGAAATCACGTAGTCGTTGGCCGATAAGAGGACATAGATGGGCAGTCGGTATACCGCGATCAGGTGTGATGGTTCCCGAGCCGCACAAATCCAGCGTAAGATTGTTGAGGCTGGACGGGAGGCTGGAGATGAGACTGCGAATGGTAGATTCATGTAAATAATCCCAGCGCGGACCATGCTCGTCAGTATGTTCGCTTGAAGCCTCCAGGCTAAACTCCTCCAAACATTTGGAATTGAACATCATAGCAGCCAGCTCCACGAGCTTCTTGTTAATACGGTATCCCCATTGATGCAGAGTTTCCTGTTCTCTATGCCAATGCCAGCGTCTTCGGCCACTGTAACGCTCCACCGGGCCAACGGTCATCCAGTCGCAGTGCCAGTTTTTCAATCTCTTCGTACCATCGAGCCCAAGGTTGTCTGAGTGGTAGAGGTCTCCGTTGTCGTGCCAAGGAACCACACTGGGACGGATGGATGGATGGCCGACGAAGCGGACTGACAAGCGTTTCGCTTTCGTTTGGATTAGGTTACTCAGCGCTGTGTCTGATGGGGGGAGTCTCTCAAGGTCGTGGTGAGAGGCGAGGTAGAGATCGGAGAGTGGAAGTTGAGAGAGGTAGACAGGAAGCACAGCCTGGTACCAGCGTTTGGCGAGAAGTAGGTAGGCGACAGACTTGCGAAGTTCAGAGGCTCCGAGACAGTCTGCGATGAGGGCAAGTAACTCGGGCGGAAGGTCCAGAAGAAACATTGCCGGTGGTGGAGGTCATGGGTAGGAAGAAGAAGTCTTTAGCAAGTGTTTGTCAAGTCGTGGCTTTGGTGGGGTCGAGGGATGATAGTGAAACGGTGTTAGCGTACGGCTTTTCTTCGGCATAACGGTCGGGAGGCGGTAAGCCTCTTGTGAAACCAGACTTAGCCAAATGCTTAGTCAGCGGCAATAAAATTAGGATGTCCTCACCGTATTGGATTTCACTCCTGCTCTCCACCCCTCGCATCTTCACCATCGATGCATTCATTCAAGCTGGACAGTGACTCGCACTTTTCCTCTTCTTTCGCAAGGATAACACATACAAAAGTGAACACATTAATATTGCCAGAAGCACCGATCGTGAGCGGTCACTTAACACGGATGAGCGCGGAAGGCACAGTCATGACACTTTCTCGTGACACGAGACCGCAATTCCTTTCCTCATCACTTCTATTACCATATATTTATTGAGATATTCCCATCTTCTTCTTCTCTCAAGGTTTCTTCTGTGACACTTTCCGGGATAGGTTACGGTCCCTATTACTACTTAGCGCCCTTGCAAAGAGGTCGAACATACGCAAAATCGCTCGAAATTCCAACAACATAATGAAAGTATCAGGCATTGTAAGTACATAGAGATGATTGAATCCGTTTTAATGCTTACACTAAATAAGACTGCCAACGACTTGAGTCGCTACAAGATGGTCAACAACAAGAGTCGCTACTCCGGACCTGAGCCTCAGACTCTCCCTCTTCCACCGGAACTTGTCGTGCGAACTCTCAGCTACCTAGACCAAGCTTCTGACAAGAAAAATGCCAGACTTGTATCCAAAGGCTTCGCAGCAGCCGGCCTATCCTCGCTCACCTCGACGGTCTACTTCTCCACCTCGCTCATTAAGATAGGCTATCTTTCCAAAGACTTACAATTCTCGAGTCCAGTCCTTGAGATCGCGATGCATGAAGTCGTCTCCAAATACATCAATAAACTGGTCTGCGGTGGTACCCAGCTTTCGGCTTCTTATCTTCCACTCAGAGACTTCCAGAACTGGTGGGCAACCCTCGGAAAGAGCGAAACGTCATGGCCAGTTCAGAAGATCCACAGCATTTATGTATCAAGGTACAGCCAAGAAAAATTGGTTGTTAGCAAGGGTGAAGACCGAAACATCTTCCTCACAGCTCTTGAAAGGTTCGAGAAGCTCAAATGCATTGTATTCACGGATGCTGCTGCGAACGAACAACGTCAAGTCTTGCCCCAACCCACATGGCCCTCGGCCGTTCCTGAGGGAGACCTGTAAGTGGACGTTCCTGAGCAACTCCTTCCTCACCAATACCCTTGTTCGAGTCGCGAGTCACACGCTCTTCTACTTCCCTGATCTTGTCCTTTAATCCAAGACTTATGCCTGCAAGAGGTCATGCTGACTCCGCAATATGTAGTTGGGGTCCCTCCTCGCCATATCATAGCTTTGCTATGTGTATCCGGTCACTCTCAGAAATGGCCATCAAACTCCATGAACTCTCCATCGAGGGTGGACAGAATGCGATTTCCTGTTGTATCTTCTCTCGAGCCTCATCAAAAGACTACAATCATCTACTCAACGTCTTTGCAAGTCTCCGCAAAATAAGCATAAGTGTCAACACACATCAAGACGCGTACCCTCTGTGTTTCGCCGGCCTCGGGCGGCTTTTGACTCACGCGACACTGGTGCAGTCCTTGGACTTGAAGTGCACTGGGGGGCGGCGTCAATCACGCCTGATACTGTCACGAGTATTCCAAAGTGCTACATGGCCATGTCTCAAGCATTTCGGTCTCCATGGTTTCATAATGCACACCGACGTGGAGCTGATCACATTCTTTGAGCGTCATCGAGCAACAATAGACAGCGTGGCGCTCAGGTCTATGTTCCTACATCAAAAAGAGTTGAATTCTAGGGAGGACTCTCCTTGCGAAGCTTGGAAGCATTTCTTCGGTAAATTACGACAGCGGTCAATCAAGTTTCAGAATCTGGATTTGTTCCGGATACAAGACTGCTCCAATCCATTTGAAGTGCATCCGGACCTTTCCGTCCGTGCAAATGGTGGGAAAACAGTTCTACAGTATCTACGCGATGGTGGCCTGAACCCCCTTACGATTGACACGATCAACGAGGCCGACGTATGTGGATAAAGGTGTGCAGATGGCCAGGTCTAGCATTCGCCGCCTACTGACGAGGTAGGTGGGGTGGCTTCATAGGATACCAATGACTAACGATGGATTGATGGAAGTATACATGGTGGGTACATGTCTTGCGAAATGGTGGTAGAGTACATGCAGGGCTACAACTGCACATACTATTTACGATCATGTAATCACATATGGATTGTTATTCACATTTATTTCGTGCGTCTCACGTGTCATTTACCATACAGTAACTTTACACTAATATCATGTATCTGAAGGAGTGGTAACGTTTGCGGAAGGAAAGTTGTATTGACACGTGTACGAGAAAGCTAGTCCCACGCCTTCTCGACTACCCTCTTGTTGTTTGCTCCGTCAATAATCGCAAACAGTGCGTTAGAAGACAAGCAAAACATCAGCAAATACGCCAGCACGAACGGATCGAAGCAATCATCTATCCATTCCTCTCTCTTCTCCGCCAACCTCAGCGTTTCCCTCAGCACGACCTTCACACCACGGCCCATTCCATTCCATTCCAAAGGGGCCCTATATCTAGACCACAGCACCCTTCTCCGCCTCCTCTTCCCCCTCCTCGGTCGCGAGCTCGACTCCACAAACCCTATACATACCAAAGCGACCAAGTCTCCGAACGAGCTCAAGTTTCCTCATCTCATCTTCCCTCACCGACGCCTTGAGCAAGCACCGATACTTCCTTGACTTCCCATACAGCAGGCTTAACGACCGGCCCAACCACCTCAGCCACCTTTCACCGACTCCTATTTTTTTCCAACGCTCCGATCCTGGGATCGCCGGAGTCCGTATGTACGACGCGGGCATGCATCAAACCCTGTTGACGATGGCGCTGGTGAGCCACCGCGGACTGGGACCCAGGAGGCGTAAGTCTACGTATGCCCGGCGGTCTTCGATGACGATACTGCGCTTCGCTTTGATGGTGCGGTGGAGGAGGATTTCGGAGATGGGCGGGGGGTTTATTTGTTCGTTCGGGTCCATTCGGGTTTGAAAAGGGAGAAGGTGTACGCGTCTGTGTTGTGCGAGCGCGGAGATGTATGGGATGGGTTGGTGCGTGCGGGGGTTGACGCATTCGGCTGTGTTGGTACGGGTTGAGGAGGTGTGTTGGTGGACAGGGGAATGTTGTACGGTTTGAGGAGATGGGTCGGTGTACTCCACGGAGGATCCTCCTTTGCCTCGGCGGCGCGTGAGGCACTTTTCCGGAAAAGGTGACGGTTGTACTCGAACGAACCATAACTGATATCGCTTTGAGTGGCACAAAATTGTGTCAACGAGAAGCTTTTAGGATCTCCCCATTCCATCCCCCTTCAAAAAGTACCTTCGCGCGCCTAATCCCCCCAATGACTTTTGCACGATAAGTAAGCTATAGGATTCCTAACTCTTACAATTTACTTTGTTGAGGTAGTCAAATTCATCAGTATCGGCTTTCCGACCTGCCGCTGGCAATCGAATTCCACGTGAGAGTTATAGACTCAGGTTGGAGTTCATGGGCCGGCGATTTCAGTGGTTTACTGAAGGGATAGAAAGAAGTCCTTTAGATACTGTATGAAAAGCGATGTTTATTTCTAATTTTTTTCCCTTAAGATAGATTGCTCGAAGTAAAATAAAGGCTTTGTAGACACTGACGTACTGAACTCGAGAAAAGTCACCCTAGCCAGAAGCACCAAGAATGGAACCCAACCCTTACAAAGTAAACACAATCCGCAGCCCAAAAAGGACTGAACCGAACACCCAGGCCCTTGCTTCGTCCCATCACCACCACCTCCTCTACGCTGTTTCGCGTCCCTGCTAATTGCGGCGGCTCCGAAGACGACTGTTAGCCATCACCATGTATCCACCGACACACTTCGTACCCTGCGCCACCCGGCCCAGTTGAACTGTGAGTTCCATTGTGCACGTGCCAATCTGCGTGCCATCAGCCGAACAGACAGTTTCGCCTGCAGTCGTGCAGGAGGTGATGGAGTCCGTAGGCGCAGAGGCGGTCTGCGTGTTACTTGGAGAGGCGGCGGAGGGCGCAACGGAGGCTGCAACGGCCGATACACTAGACGGCGCGGCGGATGTGCTTGAGCTTCCAGACGGTGCCGCAGCAGCAGCCGACGGTACGACAGCCGCCACTTTCTCCTGCAGGTGTATGGATGGTAAGGCTGCAGAAGGTATTGCTGCTGCAACAGACGACGGCTGTACGACGGACGATACACCGGACTGGGCAGCTGTGCTTTCGCTGTCGCCCGAGCCGCCAGGAACAGTCCAGCCAACCGGCGTCCACTCGATTCCAGGCACCCTGCCATTGCCTTCTGGAGCGACGGTATAGAACAAGTCGTCCGGAACATCGATGTTGTCGAATGCGCAGCCTTGACACGTATCCGTGACGGTGGCAATTGTGTTCGTGCCCGTGGTCGGATTGTGGATCGAGATTTGCTTGTTGCAAAGTGGGTTGTCATTTGCGTTGCCGCTGAAGCTTAACATTATGTCGGCCGAGAGGGCGACAATAGCGTCGCCATTCTTGTTGACAATGCCACAGGAGCCTGGTGAGATTCTGGTGATCAGCATTACTTGTGATTAAAGAGGACAGGGGTTGAGTCGCTATATGAGTGTGGGGAATGAAGGGCCAAGAAAGGTGGATGGAAGGGATAGGAGTGAGTTCCTGGAGAGTTACGTACCCATGCCAGGGGTGTAGTGGGTGAGGTCTCCTGTGTAGGCATTTGCGAGAGGGATGGAGATGGCGAGGACGAGAGCGACGGCAGGGAGCTTCATAGTAGTGATGTCGGGTTCAGATCTCACTCAATTTGGCAGGATCGTCTGGGGTATATAAATGCCCTGCGTCTATGAAATATTTGTTGCTTGGGCGTTTGTAAGGAGTGGACGTTCCTATATAGGAAGCAAATTGTGATGAAGAAGCGTGAATTGGAAAAGATGGACAGCACATTCTCGTGGGTACTTAAGTGCAAGAGTTGACCTTGAAGGAAAAGCAATAATGAGAAGGCCAGCACAAGGAGACTGCTTGAGTCACGAGATAGACCAGATACACCGCATCGCGTTTTCTTAGTTCGAGTGTAGATTAACCCAAACATTCTTTCTCGGAGTAATTCGGTAGGAAACAACGATTCTAAAGACAGAGACAGTGACAAGAAAGATGCGATCATAGTACAAAGAAAATGTGGAAATTGGGATGAGGGATAGCGCGGCCTCCAAATATCCAAATAGAACGTCAAGATTTTGAGTCTTTCAAACCAGACAAAGAGAATAATTTCCGTGGCTAGCAACCAGTATCCTCCGAGATGCTTCTGCGCCTCCGTGCAACTTAATGCTCCTATTATGAAAGACTTGAGCCCAAAAGGACAATGTAACAGCGGGAAGAGCTCGACCTTTGTCGTCGCTACTCACCACATCGAAAAAGGCGCAGGATCATCCATGCAACGCGTTTCCTTTGCGTACGGAGATGACAGTCTTTGGGATTACCACTATCTCTGCTTCATGGCGCAAGAATGATTATGGACGAGGAGTACGGAGGTACACGTTCGGTGGATCGGTCGTTAATGTTGTGCCGCTTGTGCGAGCTTGATAAATTCCAAGTAGTGTAGCCGAGATGCTTATACCTTAGGATCATGACAGCCTCTTAAAAATAGGACAGTCTTCTCCAGCCGAGCTCTTCTCCGCCGCTGTTCAACGTCTACAGTTTCCCTCGTCTGCTTCCTATGTGGACCTCTTTCGTAGCTATTAATATCTGATATCTGCTTCTTTTCCCTTGAAACCGCTGCAGACCGTGCGTTCAGGGCGCTCAGGAAGGCCGGTCTAGAGGCACTCCAATAGTCTACCCTACTTTATGCGCCCAGTCCTCGTGACAACGCACCTCTGCATACTCCCCACCCCACTTATCGCAGCGCGTTTCTACTTCCAGTCGTACATTTCCCCCAAACCCTGTCGATCTGCAACCTACGGTCATAGATATCTGCAGCATCTATCGAAAGAGCCAATTGCATTGCGCAAAAGATATAACCATGGTCAAAGCTCCGCCACAAGCGAACGTTGCGGATGCGGCTGCTTCTCCGTCAGCTATGCAACATGGTGCTGGCCAAAGGGTTGCAGATCAGGGACAGGATGGGAACGTAGTGGGCCAGCGGAAGCCAACTACTGCTGCACAAGAGATTACTCGGAGAGATGTTCACACCGCTTCTTCTATCAATGCCCAACGGCGATTGCCAAAGATTGAAGCCAAAGAACAAAGTCCTGGACATCAACCAGCAATCCGCTGCGTCAAGAGCAAAGAAGCTCCCCAAAACAGCCTACCTAAGTCCCAAACCACCGCAAGCTCTAAACCAGTGCTCGTCCGCGGTCCGTCGACCAAGCCAGACATGAAGAAAAAAACCCAGCCCATACGCAAGTCCACGTCTCCCAAAATCCCGCCTGTTGAGAGCTTCTCGTTCCAGGACATTCTTGGTTCGATTGGTCCGGAAGCCAATGCCTCAATCGATGCCATCGCAGAGATATGCGGCCGAAGCAAGATGAGCTTAGCCGCGGAGCATAGCAGTCACCGCCCTCCCCAAGGGCATCTTGCGACTACAGGAAGCAGTCCAGACAGTTTTTTCCTACCTGCACGACTTGAGCCAGTAGCGGAGACGAGCTCTAATCGACCGCATACACGGTCGGTGTCGAAAAGCTTGGCTCTAGCCACGGGATCTGCTCATAATGTGGATGGGCTACCGGGCAATCCCACTGCTGCTACGTCGAATGTGACTTCGCACACTCACACCAGCACCTCTGGTCATGGAAAAGGCGAGGGCACCTCCACGACCGCGTCCGCGTCACTGCTTCCACAGGTTCTGGCTTGGCTGCGCCGCTCCGGCTCCACAACAATCAACGAGCAAACCAGTGCGTCCGGTCAGGATGCTGGCGCAGTCAGCGCCATGCATAGGCTCTTGAATGATACATCCGAAGCCCAATTGTGAGCGCAGACCATATGCTGCAATCCTACTTCGGCCTACCTCATGAAGTACATAGGTTGTGACCCTCCAGTTGCACGGCGCTCATGTCCAGATTACCCTCTGCGATTCCCTTTTGGAGATCCTGGTTGTTCTATCCCCCTTCAGAAACCACTTGAACAAGGACCCTGCAACGCCTGGACGCCTGGTGGTGAAGCATGAGTACCTTTGGACGTCAGACTTGGACCCTATATTACGGAAATTTACTTCTTTTGGAACCGTTGATCCCCTGTAGAGTGTCACATCAGACTGGTGCGCTACGCCCATGGCCACGAAGTCGGGTCGAGCGAGTGGATGGGTGGTCCTTTCCAAGTTCAGCAGGCCTGTGTGTTACACTCAAGGCACATTTCATATTCCTCAGGCAACATGAGTTCCCGAGGCATTTCAATGTGGAAAAAAGGGTGCATAAGTGGAATTCGATCCACGTCATCGACTTCCTCTGTATTGGTGGGCAACACATCGATTGCAAACGCCAACATTCCCCAGGTGCAGGGATTTCACAGCCAACTTGGTCAAGGTTGATCGAACATGGTACTTTATTAATAGACGAATGGACCCTTTCCAATTTTTCCATGGCGCAATCGACCGGGATCTCATTCGTAGGTGCTGCCAGGATTCTAAGCCGAAATTTGATATGGCAAAACCCTGTGGCAAAAAGGGCAGTGCAGAAGCGCACAGTGATGATGGGGAACCTTATGGCACGAAGTCGCAAAGCGCAAGCTGTTGGCTCACCGGAAATACAAGCTGTATCAACCATAGACTACAAGCTACCGGCAAATGCGAATTGTTCCTTTGCTGAATTATAACGAGGGGTATCAATAGCAAACCTATATACAACACGCATTATATGTACATCCACAACCACCCACCCACACAAACCCCCCCCCCTTTCCCCTATCTCCCCGTCACAGCCGCCCCAATGATTCTCATGATACTCATCAGAAACCCACCATCCCACCGTCTCCAAATCCCTCCCAAACCCCCCAAACCTGCCAGGGCGCCCCATCCATGATAATCCCCCCCCCCCCCGGCCCCACGCTGATATGCAACCCACAAGCAAGCCAAACACCCATCCCATGCCCGCACCCGAAACACCCCCGCGCACCAAAGACCTAAACCGGCGACAAAGCCCCCCCGCTATCCGACCTCGTATCCACCCGCACCTCATCCTTGACCCGGATCCCCTTCAACGGAACCACATCCTCGCTCCAACCCGTGCCCGGCCCCTCATCCACGCTCCAACCCGCGCCCGGCCCCCGACTACCACCCCCCGCCCGGCCCGACCCCTCCCTGCTCGCCCACGCGGACGTGACGATCTCCTCGACGCCGGGCCCCCTCTCCTTCAACCGGTAAAACTCCGCGTTCGCGTTCGGTCTCCGGACGCCGACCATCTGCGGCCGACCGTGGGCCCGGACGGCGACGGCGTAGCCGAGGCCGGGGCCGTATTTGGCGTTCTTGTTGCTGTTGTGGTTGTTGTTATTGTTGTTGTAGATGTCGAGGTGGGGTTGGTACTTGCGGGACGGGCTGGAGAGGGAGCGGCGACCGAGGCAGGTTTGGATGAGGGGTTGCAGGGTGGGGAGGCAGGCGCAGGTGATGCCGGTTGAGATTTCGACGGCGGACCAGATGAGGGGGCGGACGTAGGACCAGGTCACGTCGGTTTGGTCGATGTTGAGGATGGCCCAGACGCGGACGATGGCGGCGCCGCAGATGCTGGGGGGGGTGTTAGTTTGGGGGTGGGAGGGGAGGGAGAGGAAAAGGGGGGAAAGGGAGACGTACAAAGCGCCCAGGAGGAAGATGGCCGTGAGGGTGACCTTTTGCCGTACGGTGAGGCTGAGACTCCAGACGGGGACCATGGGGAGCACGAGGATGACGATGTCGAGGAAGACGTTGGTGACGGCGGTCCCGAGGAGCGAGGCGTTGTTGTTGATGCATTTGCTGTGCGGATACGGCCTTATCCAGGCGGCTTCGACGGGGATGCATTGGAAGATGTTGGAGAAGACGATGGCGATGCACCAGCACGTGACGAGGGCGAGGAGGGCGTAGCAGGTGTACTTGAAGGCTTTGCGGACGCCGAAGAGACGGTAGTAGAAGAGCAGGATTGAGATCTTGATGAGGGTTACGCAGACGCAGTAGAGGATCTCGTAGGCGACGGTCGTCTTCGGGGTCAGGTTAGCGATGCTCCCGAGGATCGGGGACGGAGGGAATGGGGCGACTGACTTTGAATAGTAACACGACGCTCGACTCGGGGACCGTTTCGAAATGTCGGCCCACTCCGTTTTTGGCATCTGCATTAACTCGTGAGCATGTTTGATTGCGACGAGGCATCTGGGGTGACTGTACCAACGAGCATAAGCGCGGAACACGTAAAAGAGACCATCTACCGTTTTTGTTAGCAACGATCGTGCCATTTGGAATTTGCATTGCATCTCTTACCAAACTTGATATTATCACGGCGTCATCCCACCAGAACGATAGCGCCGAGACACGTCTCGAGGCCAAACGTAGCAAGACAGCGGCAGTCGACAGAATCATAAGACCGATACATGTCCCGATGACAATATGAGTGTTGTCCTGACACATCTGGCTCATGCCTGGCAGTGCGCACATATCCTTCATCGTTGCCATTGAGGTTGCCATGCCCGCCTGCGGGTTGTTCAGTATGGACGAGGCCATTGCTGCTCCTCCCATCGTTGTGCTTGTTGCTGGCGTGGGTGACATAGCTGTAGGTACCATGGCTGCGGGTGACATGGCTTTAGCGGTTGCCATGACCATCTGTGCCACTGTAGAGGAGGTGGACGTGGTGCTGGTGGCCATGCCATTCATGCCGGGCATGTTGGCCATATCCATCTTTGCGGTTGTTCCTTTCCAACTGCTGGATAGATGCGATGGACTCGGTGCTGAATGGTATTCGTCACAGCACGCGGTTCTACGATACAGCCATGGAACAGAAACAGGGATCTCTTAATATGCAGGACATAGGTAGCTTTAGATGATGAAAAAAGATGGAGATGAGTGATGATAAAAAGGCCTTGTTCGAATCCTCCGGAAATATGGACGCCCTCGTCGACGTTACAACGGCAATCAAGATTCGGGAAATAACAATAGGCCGGTACGATGGGGGACAGCAATATAATGAGAGTTGGCGCATTCTAGATGCACTACTGACCGTATACCCAGGCATTATTTCGGCGTGGGGCGGAGAAGGTCAAAGGGTGGAACACGTTATCAAGCACGTGAGACACGTAACTTGGGAGGTGTGGATAGCCCCTGTTGCCATGTTGTTTGGTGTGACGAGCTACGATGGAGCGAGGTGTAGGTTAAAAAAGGCGGAAAAGGCTCAATTTCCCTGCCGTTCTGGACCCGATTATTTTGGATAGAAGCTTTTGCCTCGTCTGGACCAATCGCAATGGACCGAGAAAATGTCCATTGTGGTGTCGCAGATCTGTTGACTTGTGGCAGATAAAACACTTTGCATGCACCTCGAGTCAGAAAGAAGTCTCATGTGACCAAATGCTGCGCATTGCTAGCGTTTCATGCAACGTGAGAAGTGTGGTCGATCAAGATATATGTTGATTTATAGTTAACTGTACGTCAGTCTTCAATGCAATGGCGAAAGGTCCAGCAGAGAGTGAGATGAAATGTGTGGGAAAGCTTGCGAGTTACTTTATGAATAGTCAGCTAGCGACCCTAGCTGTTCTCCATCATACGAGTATGACGCCAGATTTCATATCGTCACCAGCGTTATCGATCGAACTCTTTCTGCTGGGCCACCTCCGGCTCTCGTTTTTGTGTTTGGGGGGCGATTTTGGCCCTTTTCATGGCTCGCCTCCATTACCCTTTATTCACCTTTCTTTCCTACGGCACAACTCGCACAACTCGTGTTCTCCTCATATCCAGTCCAGAACTCGCTTCTCTCTCTTGCGTCGTCTCCAAAATCCTGAAGATGAAAAGTTAAATGCTTTCTCCAAACAACCAAACACTTGTGATTTCTGTACAACAATTCGACCTCAACGACGTCGGAAGTCAGAGCGCCACGCTGTGAAAGAGGCCTTTAACCGTGCATTACTGCCTCGTTCTGGTATGCAGCTTGCGATTTGACTTCATAAGTCTGTGGAATAAGCCTCGTGGAGAGTGCTTGTAGGCTGCCTTTAGGCTCAGAGCGAGTCAAGGCCGGCACTGCAGGGCATCAACTCTACGGCGGCTTGGCGGAGTCAACCCCGAACAAATCAACCGGTTCCTTCAAGAATTGCCCTCATCATTCTGACCCTCTATCTCCATGATCCTAGAGATTGCACTCGGCAGAAAGAGCCTCTTTTCGTTTGGTAGCCAATTGGAGTGGAGTAATTAATGCCAAACACAATGCCGTGTTGTTGGCGGCTCATGCCATGTGAGATTCGGAAAACGCAATTTATGCAAAGCATCCAAGGTTTTGACTCCGACTCTCCACTTACTACTCACTACATTGACAGCCTTTTGTGACTGCCGAAATGATTCCTTGCGCAAATCATCTGTACCTAATTGAAGGAGCGCCATCTTCGAGGAAGCATATCTCTTCAGCAAAATCCAATCCGTGTATGACATACCGCACAGGCACCGAATGGGCTACTTGGAGTGAAAGACATGAGAGACCAATTCAGTGGAGAGCTTGTTTCAGTTGCTCCGAAACCCCTTCTTTGCCGCATATGACATCAAAGTCAAAAGAGTGTATATTTGCCAAGGCCCAAGGTATCAGAAATCAAAGTGTCGTCATCTACATAGCCAAAGCGGTACGTCCGAACAGACGAGGGTCGAAGAAAAGAGTCTCAACAGCCGATCAAATCTAGACGCTGGAGCATCTTAGATTTCCTTCTGGCCCGGACCAAGTCGTTGTAAGACCCGCAGCGATTCCCCCCTTCTTAGCAACTTATCTTCGGACAGTCCCCCTCCGACAGTCCCCCGTCAAACTAAAAAAGCCTCCCGCGCACGATCTACACGTTAAGCTTTCGGCCCCACCTAATTTTGGTGAGGGGTTGCGCCAGCCCTGTTCATCCGATTGTGAGAGACTTCAAGAATTCCTCTCACTTCATTGATTTTGAAGTGATCCTTCAGAGCGACGACGTGGTGCTTAGGGTACGTTATAAATGGGTCGGAGGCAGTGCAATAGTAGTAGAATAAGGGCCCGCATCGCATGTAACCATTGCTAAGCCGTAATATTAGCCGTATATATCAAAATTCGCTAATATATGTGAGAGTGTTGGTGTACTATTACCTTCCTAAAAAATCACTATAATTAGATCGCTAGCATCGGTGAGAAGATTAATGTCGACAGGCATTGTAAGTAGGTGAATGCCCACCTTTCTCCCATACCCCCGCATCCTATCCAAACCCAACTCCTATTTCGCCCATCCGTATATTATGAATATTATTGAGTATGCTGCGACGGTTGCAGACAAGAAGAGGCGTGTTTTCGCTACCTTCCCAGCTGCCCACTGTTGTCGGGGGTATTTAGTTCGTATTAGGTTCAATTCCTAGTGGCGCTGGTACAATGGTGTTGCGGTGCTTTTTATTTTCTCCCACAAGCGTGCCCCTATCAGTGGCGAGGTCTTTCCTATTAAGGATGCTGCAATCCTACGTCTTAAGGACTGGTCTTGTACGTAAGGATTTGTTGCAGTGACTGGTCATAGCGTTAGAACTCACAGCCTTCCTGGAATTGTGGTAAAAGTCATCGCTGGAAATCTACACTATGAGGCCTCCCTCACTCGTTAAGGTGTAACGTCCTATTTGGATATTTGTACCGTGGAATAAAAGAAATATCGACAATGCACCCACCAGTCAGATATCCACTATGCCAAGGCCTATGCCAAGCCGGGTGGCTGCGGGTATAGCCGGTAGCCACATTAGTGTGGACGGGGGACTGTCGGAGGGGGACTGTCCGAAGATAAGTTGCCTCCTTAGAACGATCCGGTCCCCTTATTCCCAGCGACCAGCCGATCCTCCAGAGCAGAAAAAGCACCCCTCATCCACTGAAGTCTGCATCAGCATACCAAACTCCCCTGTCATCTCGTCGTCGAAGCTGGCCTTATGGAGAACATTCAGGGAACTTTGCAGGTAGGACATAGATGCTCAATACAAGTCGATCCTACGTACGTCACTGGGGGCTCGCTGGCGCTGTCATCTCAACGTGTGGATAGTCTCAGAGAGAATTCGAAGAGACCATGACAGAGTTCGAGAGCCCTCACGAGGAAGAGTACCAGCGACGCTCGCCGAGGTAGTTCGGGCGGGTTTTCGCATTCCTTATTGCCTGTACTCACATTATTACTCGCATCCACAACCGCCAGTTATGAGAATGTGAGATAAATAACTGCGAAGCCCACCAGCTACGACACTGTCACAGCTTCACTCAACGGCTGCCGATGAAGCGACGCTACTCGTCCATGCTCCTCTATCACCAAGGTGTCCCCAATCATTTCCTCTCGCAGCAAGTCCTCCATACCTCCTCCATATCGTATCTGAAGTCAGCAACACCAAACAACCCCGCCGCTCCCATCACGCCTGTGCACTCTATCCAGACAGTGGAGCTCTCCGTCCCTGCACGGTTCCAACCCTCTAGATCCCCTACCGCGGTTCCAATCCCCCACCGTAGAGTACGTACACGGTACCCGTTTCCCCGCACAGGTATAAAAAGTAGTGCGGCCGGTTACAAAAAGCAGCTTTATACAGGCGCTATCATTCCTCTCACGATGATCGAATAGGTACTGTTGTACGTGGCCATCCCCTCTACTGACCCGGTATAAAAATGCCACGGGATCAAGTACATGCCCACCACCAAAAAAACCCCCCAACGCAATAACCCGTCCGTCAGACTTCGACGGAAGCCAAATAGCCCCAAAAACCCCCGCGGAATAAGGTGGTCGTAACGATCCTGGTCATGCGAAGAAGGGTCCAAAAGCTAGGGATATCTCAAAGGAACGTTCGCCCAAGCAAGCCATTGCTTAATATTCACACAGCGCAGGCAGGAAAGCTCGTCGAGACGGTGGAAGATTGGGAGCAGGGGTAAAGATTGAGAGAGATGTAGGACCGGGAGCGATGTGGAGAGGAATTTGTAATCATGTTGCGTGTGAAGGAAATTTTCCGTGAGGGGTATAGATCGAGAGACATTTTGGACACGCGGGGCGCCAGTGGAGGTGGTAGATAAGATACTACCTTATAGATGACTACGGCGGCCCGGCATGGCGAGTGGTTTGAAAAGGGGGTAGTGTGATCGTCCCTGGGGACCTGAGTGGAGAAACGGTCTTATAGTGGTGTCTAGGTGTATAAAGAGTGGTTGCAGTTATCGAAAAGAGAAAAAGACGGCACCGTTCAAAGATGCACCATGCTTGAACGAAATCTACCGCCCACGAACCCCCGAAATGGAGCGCGTCGGCCACGGGAGAGAAAGATCCAACGCCGCACAAAGCAAATTAGTCCCGCACATTCATCCCCCCTCTTTCACAACGATGTCGTCACCATGACGGGAACTCCACCGTGTCTTGCTGCCGCAGCCCTCGCCGCTACGGTCAACTGATCATGTAGTCAGAAGCCAACCTCGCCCAGTCTTGGCGCCCCACCCTCCCAATCATACCTCTCGTAGTACTTGAAGACCAACTCATAGCCCTGCAGGTCGTGCACGATCCGATCCACACGTCTGTAACCTCGGATCTGATCCAGACGACTTCCCTTCCTCGCCACCTGTTTCTCCAACGCCTTGATCTTGTTGGCCGTCTCGTTGCCGTTCTCGCTCGCGCTATGATCCATCTCGTCCTCGAGCTTCTTGCCTTCGAACAGTGTCACCGAGAAGCGACCGGGCTTGAAGATGTTGACCACCTGCTCAATCACATCCGCCGTTTCACGACCCGTTTGCTTGCTGGGGACGTTGGTCTCGAAGGATGCATAAGAGCAGTTGGGCTCCGGTGTGACGTGGACGGTGAAGTAGTGAGTGGCCTCGGGGCCATTTGGAGCAGGGATGACGCCATTGGCGGAGAACCCGCAAGGGGTGAAGAGGTAGGCGTCAACTCGAGCGTCCGGGTACTTCGATGTTGGGTAGACATCGGCTAGTCCGCAGACTTCAGAAACAACAGTACCAAGGGCGTGTCCTTCCGTCGTAAGCTCTTCGGGATATTCAAGCTCGGAGTCGTCGGACATGAGATCCCCAGGGTCAGAGGATGTGTTGCTGAATACGTCGGCGTTCTCATCAATGGTCTTGAGGTACCCCTTGTCCGGGATTTTGGTGGGCTTCGAGGGAAAACTGTTGATATCTCCTACGTGCTTCTCGGCGTCAATGCGCGCCTTGTGTGCTTCTTGATAGTATCGACCCTCCGCGACCGCACTCGCGTGGTCCAGGTAGAAGTTCTTGGCATTCTCTGGCTCCAAGTCTGTCATAAGAAGTTCTAGGGTCTCATCTTGGTCGTCGTCGTCGTATGGATCGAAGACCTTCATGGTTGCATTTGACACTGGGAGACCCATGAATTTCGTCTCCGTCTCACGTCTCTCGGGTGTTGCAGGAGGCGTCAGAATCGTGTTGGGTTCCGTAAGATACAGATACCAGTGTTCGCCGTTCATTTTACCAATCATATAAGCACTGCCGCCAAGAAACAATCTGTCGAGTGACTTGACCTCGTCTCTCCAGCTTCGGTGAGGTCCCCGTTGACGGTCAGGAAACAGAAAATTCTTCCTGCTGTAGAAAACCCGGTATGGTTTGGCTGCAGTGCCCGTTCCGAGGGTTTGATTGGCAAGCACATGCGGGAATCCGGCAACTAAGGCTGCGATCTCGAGGATTCTTGGCAAGCCGCTGAGTAGTGTGGTTGTGCCGCATGTTTTGAGTATGAGCTTGTGGGGAAAGACGAACATGCTGGATTCGGATAGCAGATAGGCATCGACATGTTCCGATTCGACGATAGAAAGGACCTTGCAATTGACCAGCTCGAGCATATCCTTCCACACTTCAGAAGGTACGACTTTCAACCCTGCCGGAGCAGAGGCTGCCGGGAGGGAGTTGGAGGAAGCGCTGAACCATACTTCTAATAGCTTTTCAGGCCCTGTATCAAGTCAGCATATCCCCAAGTCGGGAAGTCTCCTGAAAAACATACCTTCAAATGCATTGCTGGAGTCGAGATCGACTGCAACATCACGATTGATAGTCAGATGTGGTGTCCCACTAAAAGACGAGGGAGACGCTGTGTAATTCTTGGGTATTTCAGTATTGACCATCTCCGTGCGGTGGCTCGGTCAAAGACCTTGATCCGCTGCAGCCGATTATTGTCGGATGTGTATTGGGTGGCGGAAGGACGTAGGCGGCGGATACACACGACCGCTGAGGATCGGTTCTTCAAGATGATACGGTTCCTGTCTGCCTTGGAAGCACCGTGGAGCACAATCTTCCACTCAGACGAACAGTGCGGCGTCCGCCCGAGAAAAGAAGGCCCACGCTCGGTGGGATGATGTGGAGGCTGGCTTAAGCCAGCAGCAGTAAGGGGTTGATATTTCTTGACTTCGGGGTCGTTATGGAGGTCGAGCCGAGAGAGGAATGAAGAAGTCCTTGTACCAAGGAATTTTGGCTATGTTATGATCCTCGCGCCGTGCAAGCAAACGAGGATGGACTGTTTGGTTTGGGAAAGAAGGTTGGAGAAGGTTTCCGGACTTTTGCGACGAGTGTTATCTAGGCCTATATAGAGACAGTGTCAGCCAGGTTTTGGTGACCAAGAGTGCAAAGCTCCTGTAGAGAAAGCGACAATGTCTCGTGCTTGAGGTCAGACTCACTTCGCAGGCTTTGAAAGGAAGCGTAGTAGGTCTTTGTTGCTCATGGATCACGGCTGCCTAGGATTCTTGTACCAGGTCTGAGAATGATTTGCTATATTGTTGCAATGTGCGGAGTGTTGGAGATGATGAATGTCGGTGTAACATGTGAATGAAAGAATGAGATAAATTTCTGTGTGGTGAGCTAATTTTGGCGGGCAAACACGGCGAGATTCCATCGGTCTAAGCTTCTCCCGTTCCGGGCCCAACTGAACCTGGGCCTTTTACTTTTACCTAGGCTTCCCTCAGGGCTAACATGCGCCAAAAAACAATTGCATCTTTTAGTCACACTGTAAAGTAAAGTACTTGATGGTGTTTGTTGATTTCCATCTGATCATGCATGGCTCGGATCTCTCTCACCTTGATATCGCTGACTTTATTCTAGGGAGTAGATACAAACAAAACGGCTGTTCAGACTGTCCGCTAGATCCATTCAGGAGCAACTAGGACTCTCAGCAGCCTCTACTTTCGGTGCAGGAGTGCTTTTGAGACCATCATGCGGCTGTGAGCGTTATGACCACTTGGCGCCCAGAAGCAAATTCATCCATCGTCTTCCGTCCGACGGCTCAAGCGTCAATTTCTTCCTGAAAAGGGTGACGACGGTGGCTTCTCATTCAAATCATCAAATCTTACCTTAGTTGCCTACTAGACGGATCGAAGCATTGTCGACAGGCGTACTAGCCATACCATGGACAAAAGATTTGGTCCTTTCCCTCCACTCGGCTAATATTCAGCCATTCGATTTCTAGATTCGGTTATCAATCCCTTCTCTTTTCCCAAAAAGAAGTGTCTGCGTATCGACGGCTCTCAGTTTGGAATGGTAGCATGGCTTCGAGGAAGGAAGAAGGAAGATAATGCAAGAACAATGCAAGGTACGAAGTGACAGGAGCCAATGCTGCGAGGCAGGACTTCCGACTGCACGTTTTCTGCAGAGCCGTTCCTCTCGTCCTATTTTAATCGATTTCACAGTCACCCCTTGCTCGCCCGGTGCGTTGTTCTTTTCTCAATGCCTAGCAGCCAACTTTCCCTGGTAAGCCAAGCAGGCCACAGGGCTGTGATAGCTCTGCAGTGCCAACGCATACTTGGCCGACGGCGTTGACATCTGCACAATCCCGCGATGCAGTCATCGCTCACTGGGGCTCTTTCGTATCACGGGATTTGCCCCTATACACGACTGCTCCAAGGCTTCAAATGCGTCAACATTTTGAGATGAGTATCGCGCCAAACCGTCAGACCGGGTTGAGAATCCCGAAAGACTCGAAGGGTGCCATGGCGTCGATAGGCGAGCCACACCGAATTATCGACTTTTGCGATGATTTGCCAGTAGTCTCAAGGTTGAAGATCTCCGGATAGAATTATGCAACTAAAAGGCCTGGCCGTAAAGGAAACGCCGATCCACGCTGACAGCGCAGTCATTCGACACGGACGACTCCAAATATCGCGAGGAAGGCGTGCAAAAAGCGACAGGAAGGTCAAAGCAATGTATTTCCCTTTTCAACCAGGCGTCTTTGCTACGTGTTTGAGCGTCGGCACTTTGCCCAATATCGACAGATACCATCTTTCATCTTCCCCTTAATAGCTTCCATGTAGTCAAGGCCAGTCAGTACATTATTGTTAACATTTGAGCAATCGCACCAGGTAGCATCAGTAGGTAAATAAAAGGCTTTCAATCAACCAAACCCCTGGCTCGGCCGAGACAGCCAGGTGTAGCCAAATGATAATGCCGAATCTTTAATAAGTGGAGGGGATAAAGGTACCTTATTTGATGTAGAGCCAAAATTGCTAGACTAAAATCGGACTAGCGTGAGCCTCGAACCCCGCCCAATCATGTGAACGAGGGTCAATTGGCTGCAGACGCTGCTGCTACCACACCACAATCCTGCACGAATCTGCATGACTTGTACAAGCATTGCGCCGGCATATTCTTTGACATTTCTGCGGCACGAGGTCATCGTCGCTTGTCCGTGAACACCTTCATTCATCGATAATGTGTTCATGGCGACGTGAAACATCAAATCCAGCATCACTAATGCCTGGGACCACTCGCACATATTAGCGACAGTGCTCAGCTCTTCCGCACTCAAGCGGCCAATGTATACTCGCAGCGGTCAATGTCGAGGTGGAGGCGAATGAATTGGGGCAACATCCTTGCCCTACTATATACAGCCTCCCGATGATATGGTGGACAGCATGGAGAACGCCTACTCCATGCATGGGCATACTCGCAGTTTGTCTTGTATGTTCTATCTCCTCATCAGCTGATGCTGCGAATGGCATGAGGAGGCAACTAGGCGTCCATGGTCTACGTGCTCTCATACTGTGAAGCTCCAACGCTGACCAATGAAGCTTTGGCCTCCACCATAATGCCGGTCACTTCTAACGCATCCGCCTTTACCTCGGCCACCGCCTCGCCAATGGAAGCTCAGGATCCAGAAGACCTTCCGATCGAATTGAAGATACCGTTGCCACCATCCAGTGTTGACTCAGATGAAGAGGTGGATACCGAGGCCAAGGCGCAAGCAGGAGCGCTGGACCCGAAAAATGTACCTGTCACTAAGGAGGACGTACGCCCAGAAGACACGGAACTCATACCAAAAGGGCCATTAGCAAATACAAAAGGTGGACTACAGCCGGCAGAGGCCCCTATACCATCCCTTATATCTTTGGAGGAACTTGCCCATCTGGTGGATTTGGAGAGGTATCAAACATCCCGGACCTTTTCCATCGAGGCCGATATGGACCGTCTCAGCCTAGCGTGCGGACTTGACCGGAGGTTGATCAGCACGTTCTCTGTCGCATATGGTAACTTGATCGATCAGTATAAGACCGACGACCAAGCTGGGTTTGCAGGTCTGTATGAGGCCTGTGAGCAACTCAAGGCATCCTGCGACACGGCTGGAGATGCCTCAAATCCTGCCGGCCCAGATCTTGGAAAGGGTGCTTTACATCCCGAGGACTTGGAGAGGCGGTCTTGTGTCCAAATGCTGCCACCAGAGGACCAGGGCATCCTCGTCGCATTCCTCACCTGGATCAGGACGGAGCCAAGTTTTCTGTCTGACCGGATATCCAGCATGTCCCCATCGGAGCTCACGGCCCTGACTTCATCATACCACCCTGCGGGCATTGACTTCTCGGTTCTAACGAACCATTCTCACGGAAAGACCCAATTTTATAGCCGGGATAGCCAGATGATGAAGCTTTCCCGGAGGATGGACAACCTTCATCGATTCCATAACCAGGACCCTTTGTTTGCACTCCTATATGGTGTTTTTGATTCCTCTTCGCGGCCTGGCTCTTCTGAGCATTTTCGACGGACAGACATATGGTCTACAATCTGTGCCAGAAATTTCACCGAAGGATTCGCCGTGGCCAAGCCAGGCAGCGATGAACTTGTCATAGCTACTGTTGACGCCTTTGCCAATTTCCAGGACTGGCGCATGAAACCAATGATAGAGACGTACCTGATGAAGATACTAGCCGAAGGATCTTTCCTCCTGGACCCAGAAGCCAGCCAGGCATCGAGTTACAATGATCCTATAGAAATGCACAACGCCAAGGCTGCAGTAACGGAGGCTGACTTTTTTGATAAGGCGCTTATAGACCTGTTTGGGCTGCTTACCACAGAACCACATCATCAGGCCATCCCTGAGAGTGCTTTAATCTTTGTCCACGCTATTTTACGCAAGATCGAAGACCGGAAGCTTAGACTTCGGGCAAAGCATTTCCTTGTTTGTAGGTGGTACTTTGCAACATTCATATCCAGCATCGTTGTCTACCCCGAGGTAAGCTCTCTGATCTTGCTGCTGAATTGATAGCTTAAATCTTTAGGTACGAGGTCTTATGATGACACACTATATTGGTGGCACTGTTCGGGAGATGATCCTGCAAAGGCTCGTTGTTCAGATGCAGCAGCGCGTCTTCGACGTGACACTTCAATGGTACGTTGGCAGTCTTCCTTATCGTAAGCAAAGCGTGGCTGACGCCGCTTGCTTCAGCAACAATGGAGCCCTTGTGAAGCCCGAGGTGCGAGACGGGATCATGGCTATCTTCCGATGCTTTGAGCCCCCCCTTGATGATCCAAGGCCTCCCTTCCAGGCCCCGGAAGGGGATGAGAACTTCTCAACACGGTTCCTGATGCTAAGTCCTTTGGACATCATTGGCTTAATTCAAACACTCTATCCAGATAGGCCACTTGTTCCGGGCACCAAAGACTCTCGGGAGATGGATATCCCTCCTCCATCTACCGCTGGATCCTCAACACTCAACGCTAGCACGAGCGATGCGGGCAGTGCTTTGGCGTCGTCTTTCGCGCCGAGTACCAGTGGGACTTCAACGACCAGCAGAACATTTGTCAGCGAAACCTTGACGGATGATGTACCTACCGGGAAGGAGGACACCCAAGAATCCTCCGAAGTGGAACATGGGAAGGGACCAACTAAAAGCACGGATCCTCTGAAGCCGGAGCTCCCTTTCCTCTTGAACAACATCTACCGAAGGTTGACAACCTTGCTAGGACCTGGCGGCGCCTCAGACTCGGTTTCTTCGGACACTGCATGGGCTTTCATATACTATTCGGGCGATGGGACCACGCTTACTTTGAGTCCCACGCCATTGAGAATCGGCAGGGATTCTGAGGCTATGGACCTGACAGGAGACTTCGAGGTCCTGAAAACAGGCATTGTCAAGCTGTTGGGCCAAAACGATAGATCGGATTTCCGTAATCTGGAGGCTCCTGTCAGAGTAGAATGCACACGTGCTTCAGACCAATCTGACCCGCTTATTGATCTCATAAAGGCATCCCTGGATAGAGCCCGGTCTGGTCTGGACTTTGGTACAGCCCATTTCTGGTGGCAGACTTTGAGCATCTACCGCAAATTTCTTTCCTCTACTAAATCACCAACAGCGTATTCCTCTCTCCTCCATGATATCGCAGACGATCTTCGGAGGAATCTAGAAGCTGCCACCCACGCGGGCAAAGCTGGCGAGGTTCGGCTACGCTCTCTAGACAAGCGGCGAAGACAACAAAGATCTGTCTTAGCCAAAATGGAAGAGCAGCGAAAAGCCTTGCGGGTCAAGATGTGGTACTCGTCGGACGTTAGGCACTCAGCGACGTACGAAGAAGCTTTGCATGTCACACGCGCCTTGCGAGCCATGGCAAGCTCGAAGCGTGCGAAAACCCCTACCAGTACAGCCAATTGGGCCCGCCAACGACTTCGAGGATCTGGTACTTTCACTAGACCCGAAGCTCAAACCTTGGAAGCTCTTTCGGCCCCAAAGGACTACGGTGGCAAATCGAAGCTCGCCGATGAGCAGGTGGAACTCACGTCCAGGTGGCTTACCCGCAGGAGTATCGAGAATTTCTGCAAAGGGGAAGAAAGGATCCACCGATTCTGCTTTGAGATTCAGAAATCTATTGGTAAGATAGCGGGTCCCAGCCCGTTTAAAAACCCGGTTTTGTGGTCTAGCAACCTTTTCAGGCGTGAAAAAGCCAGCTTTGACGCACAGCGCTTGATCTCCAATGCACATACATCATCGTACATGGGCCCTCCTACTTCCCCAACTCCGTATGAGAATAGCCGTCTAAACTCTGCAGCACTGCATCCGTCAGATCCTCCTGTCAAAGCATTCGGCAGTCCCAAGGTCAAACCTGCGTCGAGCAGCTTCGGTGGTTTTTGGAACGCTACCCAATCCTCTCCTGCTTTTACGGGACTTGGATTACACGGCATCCACCCGCTTCTGCCTCCCACCCCGACGTCCCCTCCGAGGTCTTGGTCGAGTAATCCTTTCAGCTCCGCATCACCTTTTCAAGGGACTATGACATCTCCTTCTAATTCATTCTTTGGAGATAGGACCTCCCAAGCCAACAACGGAGCAGAGTTCTCACCTGCGAAAGTGGCCTTCGCTGACAACATCAAGACGAGTCTTCGCAGCCTTTTGATTAGTGACCTTGGTTACCCGCTATGGAATCAAGGTACTGAGACAGACGCCTGGGTCAATGACTGCATCGCCAACCAGAGTGGTTACGGAGCGTTTGGAAAGACATCAAGATCTGAAGCAGCGACAGAAGCAGTTGGCAAAGACAAGATTGCCGAGGTCACCTCTCCTCAGGATGGATCGTCGAACATTACTAACTCCGTGAACCTGCACCAGGGGGGAGAGGATACTAGCCTTGTTGGTTCGCCCGAAGATGAGAGTAGCTCTTTTCCCTTTCCGGAGGCTTACGCAATGCTGTTGCAGAAGATTTCGCTCTCTCCCGATCCTTATGCGAAGTTGCAATCTCTTTATGAGCTCGAAGATATGGTTATCAGATCGGTGCAGGACTCATCAACCGTCCATCATACTGCCGATTCTGCAGACCCTAGAACTAGACAGCAACCATCTCATGGTGACCTTTATCTCCGCGGCAGAAGTGTGCCCAGAACCAAGGCTACAAGTCTTGAGGAAGTCATTGCCAATTGCACTGAACGTCGAGCTGGGACATTGAGAGCTAAGGGTCAACATAGCGGCTTCACTCAGCTAAACCCGCAATCAATCTCTACGGTCTCCCATATCCCTGCTACCGATGACATCGTGAATACCCTCCTTTCGATCTTCCGCGACCCAAAGCTACGTCCTACAACTCTGTTCCGCGATCTCCAGTACATAGCCGCTTTCATACCTCCGGAAACCCTGGATCAAACAGCACAGGGTAAAGCATTTTGGGATGCTGGTCTTGCAGCGCTGGCGCTCAAAGAAGACCTTTGCGATTGTATGATCAATCGTGCGAACCAGATCACAGCCTACCATATATCGTCTTCGAAATTAACCGGTCCTCTCACCGACACCACCCTCATGAATACCACCCTCCGCGATGCCGCGAATATCTGGCTCATTACTGCGAAGGAAGGTTCTCCCCCCGCAGCTCGCGAGCTCGGCCTCTTCTATCTCACCCATCCTGAACTACTGCCGCGCGTCACAATGCCCTTCTCCAAAGCGAACGATGTCTACAAATCCGTAATGTCGATCGACGCGAGGACTGGTGAAAAGGAGAAGGGGGCACTGGATCGATCCACCTTTGCTGTTGTATTCCATTGGATGGAGTTTGCTGCCAACGGTGGAGACAAAGATGCGAGGGATTTCCTGAAGGGTAATGGGGAGTTGAGTGGTGGGCGCTGATGATACGTCCCCCTCATCATCTTTTAAGGATCTATGGACGGTGGATAAAAACCATGACTGGGGTACATATATTCTACAACTCTTCTCGATTCTTGTACATTGGAGCATTTGAAAGCGAGCGAAGACAGCCTGTATTGGGGAGGTTTTCTGCATTTGTCCTACATCCGTAGGAAGGCGCTCAAGATACCATGCTTGCGGTTTGAACCACTGGCCACAATCTAGATAATAGTCGACTTCATATGATACACGATCTCATCATATTCACTTCTTCCCCCTGTTCAAAGCTCACTCTTCTCTCCCCCTGTATCTCCATCCTGTGCAACCTTCACAGCTCGAACAACCCATAATGGATCCACACCCCCAAACATCCCCATCAATCTCGCCAACCCTCCACCTCCTCCTCCTCCTCCCTCTCCTTCCTTCATCCTCCCATCACAAACCTCCACAATCTCCACCTCCCCCCACCCACTCCACCACAAATAATCCCCCACCATCTTCAACCGCTCCTCTTCACCGATCCTCAACCACCGCCCGATGGCTTTGGTAGGGAAACACCGATTCGAAACCACCAAATGCACGCTCCCCCCCTCGACCGTCCGTTCGCGCACGGACGCGAGCACGGCGAGGGGCTTGGTGAGGTAGTCGACGCTGACGACGCACACGGTCGCGCGCAACGGGCCCACGGCGGCCGGGATCCTCGGGTCCGCGTTCAGATCCTGCAGTACCGTCTCCTTGAGCAGCGGATTCGCGGCCAGCTCTTGCGCGTTCAGGCCGATCCCCACCACCTCCACCCCTCCCTCCCCCTCTTCCTCCCCCTCTTCCCCCCCCTTCGCGGCCCCCGCCTCCATCTCCGGCGGGAAGTGGCTCACCCAGCTCGAACACAGGTCCAGGATCCGTCCGCTCCGGGGCAGGGTTGCGGCGTAGTATTTTTGGAGGAGCCCGATGGCGTGGTCGTCTATGTGCGTTACGTAGCGGGGGGCGGAGTAGAAGTCGGTGTCGGAGGATTCGTCGGCGCGGAGGAAGTCGGTGGCGGGGTAGGGGAAGGGGGTGGAGGGGGTGGGGGGGGGGGGGGGGTTGTGGGGAAGGTTGGGGGGGGTTTGGAGGTTGACATTGTTGTTGAGACGAGGGTTGGGAGGGAGAGGCTGAGGATGCGGATGTGGCGGTGGGGGGGAAGACGCATCATTTGGTTTTCATTGACGGGTTTTTATAGGGGCCGGTTGGTGTGAATGGGGGTCTGGGAGAGGATGGGAGGGTGGGCGGGAAGTGTATGACGCTGAGACTTTGATGCGGTGCATTGTTGGGGCGGAGGGCAGGCGGGCGAGGTATGGAGTTTTCGTCACTGTCACATCAACTGCATGTCTTTAGGTATTGGGTGGCATAGCTTTTGAGTAGCCTTGATAGATGATGGTCAATCGTATAGCAGGGGCATCTCAAAGATAGGCTTCGGTATATCGGCAGGATGTGGAGGATAGCTAACGCCGAGACTGTGTCGCCGCCGTAAGATACGTTTGACCCATATCAAGCAGCTCTCGCCATGGATTCTCCATGCCTCCACCACCTCCATTCTCGTCATCCAGATCCGCACTGGGTCACTTGGTCCGGCTCATCGCACGAAGGCTCTGCTTCGACTTACGATGAGCATGTCTGGTTTGCCACTGCGTTGACTCCCGATTCTCTGCTGACCGCGGTGACGCTCTTAACGAGCCAAATCGACTCTGCGCTTCCCTTCTGTGATCACGTATTCAGCTTCCGCGTCTTCTTGATCGATATTTATAGCACGCGACTGACTTCCTTGCTGGGCTCAAGGGTTCAGATTGTGATACTGACTACAAGAGCCCGCGTGCATGTGTGCAGATACGGTACTGTGCATCTGAAGGGAGTACAGATACGGGGACGAAGCTTTAGAGATGAATACTAAGAGTGTTTGCTGGACCAGCCAACACGTGCTCTCGTAAATTCATACTCCCTACAAACGAATCAGAATTCCACGAACATTACGAACCGCGTATCCTGGATCACAACATCTTCACTTGTCGATTCCTAGAGTACCCACACTCGACGCCACCAACGCCTTTGGATCAAGGTGAGAAGCCAAGCATCTAGCGCGGCCCTTCAATGCATACGGATATCATTCGAGAGTCCACGTCATGCACATGAATGTACATCAAATCGATCTTAACTTGTACACAAAGACAGCGTACACAATAACGGCTATGGCTTTGAAACTACCTGGTTAGCATGTTTCACAAACGGTGCCCTTGTTCGGCGGCAATATGACCAAATTACTCCAAACACTCGACTTATCCATCTTTAAGCGCTTCCAGTTTCATACGAGGCGGGCCAATAAATTTATATCAACACGACCTCAAAAAAGCAGTCCCGTCTTAACCTTGGTCTGAGGTGGCAGAGACGTGTGACAAGAATATGGGTAAGGCGCAGCCATTTTCGCGAAAGAAGACAGTCGTCGGACCTCTTCTGACCTTCCTCTCATTACCTGAACATCGTCCTTCGATACAGCCCCCAGGATTTCCTGAGCGCAAGAAAATGCGTTCGTTAGACCGTTGACTGATCAGGTGCTTACTTGGTGGCACAAACCTTTTATTTCACCCGATCATCTTTTTTTTCAGCTATCTACTACTCAAGACCTTTCCACCATTAGTAGGACTGAACACTTTTAAGAGACGCCAATACATCTTATAGCATGTTCTACAAGTTCCACAGTAAGAGCCCTTGGCTGAAAAGAGTCCTCGTTCCGTTCTGGACCTTCCAACTCATCTTCATGGTCGCTCTAATATCCTTCTTCGTCTGGGTACTTGCCTATGTCGGATTCCATAGGTACGTGACCCTTTGTCCACCGCCACTTCAACCCCAACATTCGCTTACGAAATCGGCCAAGAAATACCAATATCGTCGTCCTCATCATCAGCGGTGTCTGCATGGTCCTCTCTGTCATTGAGATCATACTGTTTGTTGTCATCAGGCTTGACCCTTTGACCTATTTAATCTTGCAGCTTGTCAAGACGATAATGTGGTTGGTGCTTTTTGCGCTAGCGGCTGCTGAATCGAGGAGAGTGCAGAAGGCGACGAAGGTAGACGAGGATCAAGGGTATAGCTCAGGGATTACTCCGGAATATCTCGTCTTGGCGGGGCTTGGCGAGACTTTGGTGCTTTTGTGAGTTGCTGATCTTTCCACCTCAATTCTCGGATGGCCCACTCATGACATTGTAGTGTCTATTTGCTGACTCTAGATTGCAGTGTCACCTTCCTTGCCGCCCTCACCTACGCCAGTATCGTATACCACCGGCATCGCCGCGCAAAAGCACGTTTCCTCCGCTCAGTTCAAGGCGCCGATCTCTACCCAGTGATCGCTGATGAGGACGCCAGTCCTGTCGGTAGCCATCGAATCTTTCGAGCTCTTAGAAATAGCATCAAAAGATTAAGCCCTGAAGCGGAGGTACCATATCCAGCTGAGTTGAAGGAGGCGGTGGAGGTGACTGTGTTGAGGGAATTAGGTGGTGATTGGGACGTGTACGAGCCGCCTGGTACAAGGAGCGTCAGGAGTTTCAAGGGGCAAAGAGCCTGAGGAGTCTGAAAGTGGATTGATTGGAATTTTTTGGTAATATGACAGACCTCGTAATTCAATAATCACAGCTGTTTTCCACACTACCCTTGAATTGGGGCTGTTAGAATACACTACCATGAAGCTATGGAGATTGGAGATTGGAGACCTGGCTTCTGCATGAGGTTTCAAGCGTTAGCTAAAATATCCGCGCTTACTCTGGACACGCCAACTCCCCCTGAATTCTTTTCCCTTCATGACAGCATGTGCTTGAAATCTCTATAGCCGCCACTCACCTTCATGAAATACCGTCGACGCAACCCATCCCTTCATCCACAACTCGCTCCCCACCCACTCTTACCTCAACCCAGCGACGAACGACGACCCCAAAGATGTCCCCGTGTATGGAGATTCGAGCAAATCTAACTCAAGCCCCCTTTCTGGACATGTGGGGGACTCAAAGGCATTTGGACACTGCTGCTTTAAAGAATGGAAGCCTTGCGCTGCTCGGTGCTACGGGGCTGCCGTTGAAGAACGTCACTTCTCCGGGACCTGGCGGGTTCCGCGATGAGTATTGCACTGCGACTGTGGGCGGGCCCGCTGGGGCATGTAGTGTATCTCGTCGTCGAAAGGGGAGGAAGAGATGACTAGTGTAACCGTTTGCAAACGGCCTTAATCCTGTTGAATAGACTGCGTTGTCTTAGGGGGTAATAATCAAGCCTACAAAGTTGCACACAACGACTACTACAAAGCCAAGGATTATGCAAACGCCATTGGAGAATACATTAAAGGTGAGGAGTCACCGCCGAACATTTCTGCCTCACAAGACTATCTGTTTTACACGGTCCCAGCTGACATTTGGTGCCTACTTTAAGCCCTTGGTATCGAGCCCTTTCCAGTCACCTATCTCTCCAGACGAGCCGCAGCATTCATGCTCGTTAATCGTTTTGAGGAGACGCTAGAGGATGCATACACTGCAAGCGATATAGACCATTCTAATCCGCAGAGGTCCTCTATCGACTAGCTCGAATATATATCGAACTTGGTGAGCCAGCAGAACTCCTTGACATATTCAACCAGTCCTCCTCTATTCAATCGGCGTCGGCAGTAATAGTCTCACAATCAATGCCTCCTAAACCAGAGCTAGTAGAAAGGCTAATACGAGAAGGTGCAGATCCAGATGCAGAAAACGCACAAGTTGAGCTCGGGCTAGGGGTCGGCATCAAGAAGCCTAGGAAATGGCGATCGAGAGTCGAAGAAACGTCTCTTGCAGATCTTCGCGCAACTACAGGAATCGAATATGCTGTCTCCCCAGGTGAGACCAACCAGGCGGACAGCAGGCACTCGACTGCGTTCCCTGAGTCCCGCTCGGAAACGAATCGTGCTGATGGAGAATCATTCAAGGGATTACCAGAGAAGTTCCCAAGCTCTGACCAGAACTTCGTTGGCATGGAACCTGATGCTATCTCAGCAGAGCCTGGTAATGTATAAGATGGCAAAGTCGCCAGTATATAGATAGCCACGTCAGGCCATGTTGTCATCACTCGGTACGAACCTTGGATCTCTCTCTACACTGGATGGATGACGCTCTTCAAGTCTAGACAGTCGTGCGAAAAACAACGACCGCACTTCCGGCACAACGTCCCATATCCCCTCCATCAAAAACGTCTGTGTTCCCTAGACTTTCAGACGTTTTTGACTCTGTGAACAGAATGGATATCATTCTCCACAATGCCGAGACGGATCAGATAGATTGAATCGAGTCTCGGAGACTGCTGCGTTATCATGGGGGGATGCGCCTGTGAACATTTTCGTCGTGGGTTGCCTATGATTCCAGTGTTGACGTGCATGGTAGTGGGACTGCATTATCTGCATTCCTACATTTATACATAGGACGTCTGGAGCTTAATGGGGTGGCAGGTGGATTTATTGAGAAGTGGGTGGGGGGAGCGAGTATAGGGTATATAAGCTTCAATATGCTAATGCACACGGGTGACTCTTCGCTAAGGTATCATTCTCGTTTCAAGCAAGCTGCGCTTGCTAAAACGCCGGTCGTAAAGGTCGTCGCAGTTACCGATCGTTATGCTCCATTGACGGGAGTCCGGTCGAGCTTCGGCACAGGAGGCGGAGCATCCTCATCCTCGTCCATCGCCTCGAGCTCTTCTGCAGAATGCCTGTCAAACGTGTCAGCACGCCCGTTTATTGATAGAGTAAAAGCACAACTTACCCAAGCAGGCCCTTCACGTCCTTCATCTCATAATGCTTCTTCCTCATCTCCTCGAAATCCTTGTGCCTTACGATCCCATCGTGGCCCTTCCCATCAGGCGCCTCATCATCCACAACTACACTCTTCTCCCCTTTCAGACTCCCACTCCGTCCAAGGCTGCCACTACCGCTTCTCTCCGCACTCCCACTTGCACTCCGAATCCGCTCAATTCTGTCATCCTCATCACCAGCCGCCAACGAGACATCCTCCTCGGGCTCTCCAATATCCAAGCCTGGGATCTCTGCCTCCTTCGTCCTCAGTGCTCTCCGTCCCTCTTTGATCTTATCCAATTCATCCACTTTGAGTTCCTGCGCATCTAACGTCCGCATCTCGTCTTCGTCTTCTTCTGGCTCATAGCGTTTCGCGTACGGGGTCTTCGGCTCGTCGATCTTCATCGTAGAACTCTTCTCCTGCTCGGTGAGGTACAGATTCGCCTCATCCCAGCGCAACCGCATATTCTCATCACCATTCTCACTGCCTGGGAGGCCGGCGTTGCTAGACTGGCGACGAGAAACATTCGCACGGGGGTCAAGGCTGGAGTTGCGACGGTGGCCGGCATTTTGCAGTGTGTTTTGAAGAGTAAGGTCCTGTTCTGGAGTGCTGGACGTGACTTGGGCGGTGAGCGTGTTCGTGAGAGGGGAGGTGTTCACGGCATGCTCGGGGGAGGGTGCGTTGGGCAGGAAAGGCCGCGTGGGGGGAGAGCGGCGGAAGGAGTTTTTGAGGATGCCTAGAGGGGTGTTAGACAGCTGCGGTGCGGTGGAGAAGGGGATTCACGAATATACCTTTTGGCCGCTGGGGTGGTGAAGACATATGCATGGTTGGAGAGACCTGGGTCATGTTTGGCGTCGATGAGAAGGAAGCAGCTGACAAAAAGTCGCCGTGCAAAAGAGTACTGTATGTATGCTGAGACGTGCTGCGATAGCACTAGAACGTGGCAGAGGCTGTGTTTAGATGGCTATTGATTGTATGGAGAAGACGAATAACGAAAAAGATTAAGGAGTGGGATGTTGTTGATATTGAAGTGGACTGAAAGTCAAGAAACCTTGCTAAAGCTCGGCGAATGTGGTCACTTGCAGACGTCATACCCCCACTCTTTTCGATCTAGCTACTTTAGTATCAGCTGAGCCAAATATCTCTTGGCATTCTTGCCAACTCTTCTCCGCTGCTCCAAAAAAGAAGGAGGTTTTCTGGGGAGCAGGTAGGGAGAACAACGCCTTTGTCTGGGTCACCGGCCATCCACTGAGGTAGACATGACTTGAGTCTCCTCGATCGCTATTGATGATGTAGCTACGGGAGGATTGGCAAGGGAGGAACCGCAAGATATGGGTAATGATCCTTGATTGGGTGCTATTCACAGAACGAGAATGCTCAGCGTTAAAGGTGATATCCAGGCCTTTAACAGTTGCTTCTGTCTCCTGGTGATACTCTGCGCTCCAAGGCTCCCGATGCTGACATTGGTTGGCAAGCATCCATTCAAGGGAGTAGCCACCAATCGGGCGCTTCATCCTTCTCACCCATCTTCTTCTGTCTCCCCGCCAGCCTGTCCGCCCACTTGCCTCCAGCTACCTCCAGTCTGACCTTCTCTTGTACGTATAGTCTGCTCTGGCCAATTTCCATGAAATCAGCGTGCACCTGTGCAGCACTTAGGGGAACCCCAGCTTTTATCTGTGCCACGATAATTGCCTCTCTCTGGTCCAACGCCCTCAGCTGGTCGTCGAACGGAACCTTTGCTTTGATTGGGGCGTGTTGCGACTTGGTGAAACCAGTGCGATCCTTCTTGGACTGCTCCTTTGTTGGTGTAGTGACCACAGGCGTGGCCGGAGCTGGACCTGGTGGAAGAGGGGGGTACCGAGGCACCAGGAGAGGAGCGACAGAGATGCCTGAAGAATGGTGAAGTCCATCTGTAGGACGTAGACGCTGGGTGCATTGCAAGATACTGGTGATCATGGGGTTGCTAGGATGCTGGACGATCTCACTGCCAGCAAAGGCCCTGTCAGCCAACACACTCCCATGATCTCAAGTCAAGGAATCTCACTTACCGGTTCCATCTCAGCTCTTCAATTATCGGAGTCAATGCGGCAAAGCAGTCAGGGACGAGAAGCAGTTTACAAACAAATTCAACTAGGGCAAGTGAAGCTATTTGAGGGCGAATGAACCCTTCCATGAAATCGTACGTCTTCTTATACCTTACCAGTGCAACCTCCTGCTTTTGGGTCAATGGAAGGTTGAGAGACATGGCTTCGAGGAATCCCTCGGACTTGGGGTCGAGGAAGAGAGCTTTGGCTCCCGCGAGGATCTCGTACTGTATCGCGCGCATCGTTGCCTCATAGTGATCACCCTCTTTGCCTTTGCCTTTGTCGATAGCTGGACCTTCCACGAGGAGCTCGCCCTTTTCCCCTTCGCCTTCGCCTTCGCCTTTGCCTTTCCTTTTGCTCTTGCTCTTGCCCTTGCCTTTGTTCTTGCCTTTGCCTTTGCCGATGGTGGTGTCCTTTACTGGCGAGCCATTCTCTTTTCCTATGCCTTCGCCGATGGCTGGGTCCTTCACGAGCATGTCGCTCTCTTTAGCTTTGCCCTTGCCAGTCTTCGCGTCTTCCAGGGGCAACTCATTTTCCCTGTCTTTTCCTTTGCCACTGACCGAGCCCTCCACGAGCCGGTCGCCCTCCTTGCCCTTGCCCTTGCCTTTGCCGGTCGTCGCGTCCTCCATGGCCAGCTCGCTCTCTTCGCCCTTGCCTATGCCAAATGCCTGCAGCTCCAACAAGGCCAGCCTTTCACTTATGATCTTTTCCCTATCATTTAGAGTGGTGGCCATCTTGGAAGAGTAACGGAGGGCTGGGAGCTCTTTGTAAAAGTCTGTGAGTACCTCTGTCAAGATTGGAGCATTCTGGGAGTCTAGCTTCACGCCTTTTGACAAAGCTAGTTTCTCTTGTGCGGTGAAGGTATCACGGTTCGGATCTGCGAGACTCAAGTTAACTTCACGAAGCGCCGCTATAAGGATATTGTTGCCCGAACACCCAGCGGATTCTTCTGGAATCGCGGATATGCTTAGTTTGCGTTTACTTGTTTTGGTGTCACTAGTATCAAAAACGTGCTCTGCACCTTCCTGAATGTCAAATTCTTGGATATCGACAAGCGCCGCTAGAAGTCGATTAGGCCAATCCAACACCTGGTCTGCTTTGCCAGCCGTCGCCAGCTTGCGCTTGTAAAGTAGGACCGTCTTGCGAACCACAGAATTGTAGGTGAGGTCCCAGAATCTTGCGAGAGTATTTTCGGAGTGGTGCCTAAATTCGATAGGAACCTTTATCCACTCATGAGCAAACAACCCTATACCTGACGGGCGAAACTCCAGTTCTAATGTCTCCTCGATCTCAGGAGGAATGTGCCATTTGACTTTTGGAGACCCTGAAGCTTCTTTGAAGAGAACGATGGGCGGTATAAGAGGATCCGCGTCGGCAACGGGCCCCTTGACTTGGCCATGGGCCTCATTGCGCAGGCTTGAAGCGCCTGGAGCCTTGTAGCTCAGTATGGAGGCTCTCCGAGCAAGAGCATGTTCAAGGGGTGGGCTGATGTTGCGTTTAGCAGGAGACTCGTTGGACGGGGCTGGCAACTCTAGCAATAAGTCTGACAAGCTCTGCTGGTTTGCTTTGTATGGAGATTCGTCGTATTTGTCGTCTTCTTCTGTCAGCTTTATCAATTTTGACAAGCTCGGCTCAGCTTTGCCCTCTTGTGATCTGCTTGAACCGGCAGCTTCAGTGTCAAAGTCATAGACAAATTCGAAATCGTCAAAGTCAATGAGTGGTGAAACGTCAATCAAATCTGGACGCCTTTGTCAGACACGTCATACTCTGAAGACTCATCTTGGACGGTCTGCTCACTCTCTCCGACATGGTCTACACCGGCTTTGCTGGCGTCAACATCAATCTTTAGAGGTTTCCTGCTCTGTTTTGTGGTCTTGAGCTTGTGGCTACTCTCAGGCTGTGCGGCGGATGCTTGAGTCAATGAAGTGGACCCGTGGTCTGGTGTGTGAGCAGCCAGCTTGAAGGATTCAGAGAATTCGGTAAGAAGCATGTTGATGGTCGGATCTAGTCTATCACCTATGATGGATAATCAGCAGCGACAATGTCACCAGTGTGATGGTGGACGATCCGGATGGTAATTATGTGGATAGTACGCGAGGGGCGCGGGCAGATTTGTGTTGTTTTCTTTCATGACTCAGGTCCGCGCAACCTCACTCCGTGCAACCTCACTCCGTGCAACCTCACTCCGTGCAACCTCACTCCGCGCAACCTCACTTCGCGTTGACCACAGGTCCTATTCCGAAGATCTGCCGGTCTTGCTTCTTTTCCACTGGACTCCCTAGGATATGAGCAGACCAGCCGCTCAGAAATCCCCTTGCTCAGGATCTACATCTTCTCTAAACTACCCTTGTGTACAGTGCACTCTCTGGACAACAGAAATACGTGCCTTGCTTGTCTCATATGATGCAGCAACATGGAGGGTTACTTCTGTTCTCTGACTTCTAATTTGTTCTACAAGACTGTGTTCTTGCATACGAATTTTTTCTTAGTCTTCAATGCTGCCTACGGAAATCCCTTGACATTGACCAAATTGGGAACCGCTGGCCTTGAAGGAAGGGTGTTGAGCCGGCGAAACCAGGTTGTCTGTTGCCGGGATGAAAGACAGGCGACTAGGCATCTCCGATGACTACATCAGTCTCAACCCCTGCAAATTATGTTGCTGTTACCAGTTGTTCATCATCTTTCACATTTGTCAACAAAGTAGACTTGCAAATTTCTTGCATAATTTCAACTCAGTGTGCCCACCCTGCTCACCAAACAGTACATCTTGGGTCCAGCAAAATCTTAAAGGGAATGATACTGGTCGTGGCACGTACTGAGTCTGTCGTGACAGTGCCGTGTCAGCTGATGCATGCTTTAGACAGCCGGCTATCCAACGATAGAACTCGCGGGAATATCTGTTCTTGCTATGGATACTCTACGCTAATGTCAAAAAAAGTCCGCTCATTTTGACCACGACTCCCGAGGCATTCACATCTATCTTATCCCGAAGTACAGCTGCCAGCAGAGTGGATGACCTTCCTACATCAATATCTCTCCTGACCTCCACTGAACAAATTTCACCACGAAGGCCGTACTCAATACAACATACCAGACGGAAGTTTGTCTTCGATCAATGGCTTACAGCCCTCAAGACTATGTACGAAGACTGGGACAAGATTGACATCCGCAAATCTACTACGGATGAGCTGAAGATGAGTGACTCCTCGACAAGTTGAAACACGGATGGAGAAGTCGATCACTGACACTGACAAGTCACTCATCAAAGACACCTTGAAGCCTGGATGCCTTGAAACGGGGAAGACGTTGCTGATGCATTGATTTTGCTTGAGGATGGTTCTGCACTCTTTTAGTTCTTCTTTTCATCGTCGTTGAGAAATATTTCTCTCATAGATATTTTTGCAACGCGACAGAAGTCTTGAGGATATGGGCAAAGTTGAGTTGGAAATGTGCATGATAAGTACAAATTCATTCTATGATATTCTCCTTCTATCACAGATCTGCAAACATGGCGACTACTCTCGAAAGCGAGTAGGAAGTGGCGATCTTAGAGCAGTCCTACTGTCGCTGCATCCGAGGAGACCGAGCCTTGGCTGATCCGAAGAACGAACGAGAACGCCAAAGCCTAATTTGTAATGTGATCCATCCCACTTACCTCATGCAATAATAAGTGTCAGCTATGATTTATATCCCTACAATATACATTACAACATTTACGTGGCTGCTAGCTCTCAACTCTTTACCAGATTACGCCACTCCAAGCGAAGGTTTCGCAGACTCTGCACCAGCTCTACCTTCATTACGGGCACCGAGCACCCGTCACTTGCGAACCTTCCCATCTGGCGTGACACTCAGAGTTCGCCGATCGATCCTTTTTCACTTTCGAGACTAAGTGGGATCGGAGTCAAGGCTGCTTCGAGGTGGGTAAATGACTTCTCCGATATTCCATTGAGTCTACTATAGACCGCCCCTTCACGGAGGAGTATATATGTTCTTGTATATCTTGCGTTTTTTCTCGATTACTCTATTCATTCTTCATCAACTTCGAGGCTTTCTCACATGCCAGCGGCTTACAAGCAAGCACTTTCTCTCGAGTCTTTGGGTGTCAGCCTCTTGTCGAGCACTCCTAAGGAAGTTCGCACCATGTAGGCCTCGAGGATGATCATGCCTTCTGGCCTCAGAAGCTTTTTTCGTGTTCTTTTACAATCCTCGCTACTAGAGGTCCTGTGGTCATTGGTCATAACTTAATTTGTATCTTTCTACAGAGCCGATGATGCCCCACAGAGCTCAGAGTTGCAAGAACATCGTGGCGCAATCCTACCATGCAGCGATATGAGCCCGCTCAGAGGCAGACCAGTCTGCATGTGAGACAATGCGACGTGCTGGATGATCTCAGTCACCCGAAGTGGCTCGGTGACAGATAGATATGAAGGGCGCTGACTGGATGATTAAAACACGTGCGGTTTCTTTCTCCAGTCTTTACATTACCCACATACTTCCTTCAATCCCCCATCTCATCTTCACGTTGATACAAGTTTTCTAGTGTCCAGTCTTTCAAGCTCTGGAACCAAGTCAACTAGATATGAAAGGGTGGAGTCAAGTGAGATACCACTTTTCTTAAACCAAGCGTCTAAATATATCAATACTACATTTCGATTATCGCGCTTGCCATCCTTTGAAGGTCGCGTCGAATGGGAAGGCAATACCATTGCTGATTGTATGCAACTGATTGTCAAACACATTGTGGAGCTATGTGTGTCTAGACTGGACGGTAACAATCTTGTTGTCAAGAAACAATGAAGTGAGAACAACACCAGAGCGTGTCTAACTCGTGAGACAGTACAGCTTTGGCTACCTGCATGGACTGTCTCTTCTCGATACCCAATTTTGGCTTGAGGCATTCAATCTCGATTTGAAAGCTGTCTCAAGCATGGAGTATTTGCAGCTCTGCCCGAGATGAGGTCTAGGAAACTACGATATCACCTGCTTAATCTTGTTTGCCTGGATGGATTTTCCATGGAAAGTACAGGATTTTATCCTCCATCCTAAACGGAGACTTACTTGCACCAATTCAGTGAGATATGAGAAGATGGATAACACAGTTTCAGACAGACGGCCAGGTATGCATTCAACCTCGACGGGCGGTGTTTTGACTGACGTCTCCTACAGAAGACGAGGCGAAAATTTTCACAATGGCACACGCACACCCTCGCTGTCGCTTGCAATGTGCATCTTACGATCATTTTCGGATTACAAGACGGTGCTTGAGTATCAAAGGTAACGACTTGGACTACCAATGTGCCTCGAAAGCCAACTCTGTGATGGTTGTCATGGCCAAATGATGACCGAGTTATTGCAGACCTTGGTGAGAGGGTGGCTGCGTGTTCTATTGGCTCGGTAAGTCACGGCTCGGTGTTGCACTTGTCATCAGAAAATCCCTAACTATGTGGTCGTTGTCCAAGGTCAGACCCTTACGGAGTCATGTGTCTGTTGTCACTCGCGGCAAGATGACACAGGAAGCTACAGACCCACCATAACACACCCATCATAACACACCCATCATTTACCTCTACTCGCAAAGCCAATATCAAAATCCGCTCAACTTCCATTATGCCACATACTGTCCAGTATCGACAGCGCCGCAAGGCGCTTCTTATTGCAAAGTGCCGCGAGATACACGAGGATACGCTCCTTGCACCAACGAATTCAGATCAACGAAACCGACTCTTCCATATGTACCCAGGTCACTGGGACAAAGAAGGAAACCGCCTGGCGGATGGTAGGAGCTTCGATGCATGTTTGGAGTCTTCTTACTGAAATCCTACCAGTGACGGTAGATCAATCTTCTCCCTCTTCGACGACTCCTCTCCCCCTTTCTCCGCCGGCTCCTCTCCCCCTCTCTCATCCCGCTCCCTCGGGAGCGGAGCTTTCTTCGCCCCAGCCACCAAGCGTCGAAACCGAACCACAGCTCTCCACGCTCGACTCTCCAGACGCCCTCCCTTCGGCTTCGCCCGCTCCCTCGAGAGCAGAGGCAAATGGTCCACCCGCTAGCGGTAAGGCGATCGACCCATATAAGAGGTGTGCACCGCTAATAAATGGTAGATGAGACAGAAGACGGCGAATGCCACTTCTGCGTCGAAAAGATGACCGACGATGAGGGACCGCATGTAATAGTTCACTGTTTTGCTTGCAAGAAGCCTGGGTGTTTTTCTTGTATCGAAAGATACTTAAGTATAAGAGCCAACACCTCTTGCCCGCTCTGTCGTTTGGCGTGCATCAGGGTAGAGGAGACATGGGCTCAAAAGAAGTTTGAGAGATTGACGTTCCTGGATGAGTGGCAACACTATCGCTGGGAGCCTCAGGTACCGGAGAACGAACCGGAGAACGGACGGGAGGAGGGACAAGAGATCTGGGATCCGAACGGAATCTGGGGGTGGGGTGGAATCACGCCCACACGCGGACCCCGGGTGCAGGCGTGGCACTCCGGCCCACTGGAGACGAACTACGAGTATAGATTACGTTTGGGACGGCAGCTGAATAGCCAGCGGGCTTTTCCGCTTTCTAAGCATAGAGTGAGGCCTGTGGAAACGTGGTGATTTGTATTTTCATTGGAAAGCTTACTTTCTCATTACTCAAGACTGAAATCACAAAATGTTCGACAACCATAAATTGAAAGTTGACCAATCAGATCTTCATATTCGTATTTTAGTGATATTCGATTAATTTCGAGCTTGCTTTGACAGCCCCTCCGATATAAGCTCTCGGATCTCGAGGAGAAAGGCTTTTGCAGCTCCGTGCCGAGTGTACGAAGTAGCATTTCTTCCATCATGTTTTGAATAATACAGCAGTGTCGCCGTTGCCACGATCGTCGTTGCTGCAGACGTCCTCAAACAAGGATCATGAGCTGGTCTAGTCCCGAAGAACTGAGATATCACTTTCCACTGAAGACGGAAAGCAGTGCAATCATATTCAATTTTTGACCTTGTTGAAGATTTCCATGCTCACTGTACATGCTGTTGTACATGCTGTCAAGCGAAGCATGTTTGCATTCACGCTTGAATAAACCAGAGTCCTACGCAGCACTCTGCAAGGGACAAACATCGCGGAATGAGATCATGATGGCTTTAAGTGGCCGAAGATCGCCTTTCCGCTTCATGCAGGTGGAGTCACCGACATCGTTCTCTCTCACTTTCTCTGGGAATGGTTTAAATTCCGTTGCCGCAAGCTTTGGTTATAGAGTTGAATGCAGCACTGATAACTTGTACCAATACACCTATTGAAGCGATAATTTCCACTTATGTCCTCCTTGCTGATGCAGAGTCTCTTCAACATTGTTTTCCACTGAAGGGCGGTTTGTTGCGCTGAACTTCCAGGATATGACCATCTATGCCTGACAAGAACTTCTTCTTCAATGGGTGGTTTTAACATCGCTCTCAATTCCTTTCTGGTCAAAGTCGACTCTGCAAGCTGGTGCGCGAATCATTCGCATCGGGCAAGAGAACGCGTGCAACATCTATATCCTGACCAATGATCATTCATATGATCAAGTCCTTTAGGCATCGGCAGCACGAAAGATGATCAGTAGTATTGCCGTCTATGTTAGCAAGAAGTTCAGTGATACAGAAGTCGAAGCGTGCCAGAAGTTATATTCGTATCTCGAAATCGAAGAAATTCGAAATCATCTTATGGATGAAGTATGCGCGGAGGATTATCGAGTCATGTTCGGACAACGGTCGCGACGAGAGGGATGGGGTAACGCATATGATCTTACGGAGAAGGATGGTTTGCCGGGCGAAGTCGAAGTACATTGGCTACTTGTGGGTTACACGAGACAATGAGTCGAAAGTGTTCATCATGAAATCATGGGACACTTTCAATTTGGCGACCTCTTTTGAAGATGGCCATCATTGCGTGTGGGCATCAGATCAGAATAGCGATCTGTGAGCAGGTGCCATTGAGCTGATGACTTTCTCGACACGAGTACGCCACGCCAAGATGAGTTCTACGCAGCTCAAGATCCTGGTTTCCTCGAAGGCGTCGATGTCAAACATCTATCCACTCCGCTTAAACAACACCTGAGAAGACCATTGAAGATTTTGATTGGGCCTAACTTCGCTGTGACGTTCCCAGTAAGCACTTCAAAGCCATTCTCTCCAGCATCTCAGCACCAACTGCCGCTTTGCCCAGCTATCACTTTTCAACTTGATCGCAGCCACATTGGTACGAGGGTTACGCTGACTCCATCAAAAGCCTATCCACGCCTTCTGGCAAATCCGTGGTGCCAACTTTGCCGGCAAATCCTCAGCGTCAGCACCAAAGCCGTCCCAGCATGATTAAAGACGAGGCAAGTAACACCTTCTCCATCCCAATTACTGCTCAAACTAACGCTAACTTTTACAGAACCTTCAATCAACGAGGGAGTAGCTCGTCGACCCGGCAAGCCGTTTCATGCCTGACTACATAGACAACTGGAATGATGAAATTCGGGCTGAAGGAAAGAAGCTGCTTACCTGGGATGGCACGAAAGTTCATGCCTCGAGTTCCCCACGCGGCGCCAATGACAGACGATGAATTGAAGCAGTGAGCTCTGAGGCCTGCACGTCAAAGTGTTGAGCTCTCTTTCAGACAGACGCACTATAAGAGCCGTTAGTGGCCTCTTGGACAGCTGGAAAGGAATTATGTGGTCGGACATTACTGCCTCTTTCATCCAATGTTTAGTGAGTTCTCGCTTAGTTGTGGTCTATGAATTCTGGCTTGACGGAATGCTCGAAATGGTCGATTTCCCTAGCAAAGTGCCTCGACAGCCTTTGTATACTTCTTACAAACGACGTTTCGAACTGGTCCGAAAGTCATTCGGAGGTAATTCGTTTGCTTGAGAAAGCGGAAATGGCATCTCTCTCAGCGATTATCGATGAACTTCGAGCTCTTCTTTGCTAGAGGTTCTCGTCGAAGACAGTCGAAGTCACATCTATATCTTTTGACGTGAAGCTCGCTGATTTTTGTCAACGGCAAAAGGGATCATTACCTGCTTTTTATAGAAGGGGTAATCAATCTTACGCAGAGAGTGAGTGCTAGGGATAGATCTGCTTTCACATCAAGCTGATCCCTCACTTCGCTGGAATCAGCGGTGCCAGACACGATCCTGAGAGATTTCATCACAGATATCAAAGATCGCGAGATGGAGACTACTCGAAGTATTGCCTCAGCAGATCATTCCGTTCTATCCAACAGGGTCTGATTCCTTGTTCCATTCATTGATCTATTCCTTACCAACCGCACTTGAGTACAACCGGTCAGTATCTCTTCGTCCTCAACACAGACTACTTCCTATACCAGACCTTTTGAATGATTCTCTCTCGGAATGGAGTTCTGCGAACCTCGAAATGACGTACACATCCCCCAGAAGACCTCTTTTTGGAGCATTCCTCAAGTTCAATTTCACGATCGGGGAGGGCACAATTTCCTCAAAAGGCTTCAAAATGGGCGAAGCGGATGATGTTCACCTACCTAAGGTGAGATGTGGGCAACGAAACTTAGAATTTTGCTATACTGTCTGGTTCGGATAAGGCAAAACATGAACAGCGAGGATCGGAAAGCTCAAAGGAGATGACGTTTCTGCAGAATGACCGGCCCAAGTAGGCAGCCTGCGCAAAATCAGTGTCTAAAGTCGACGTTGGAAAGTGTCTCTGCTGCAAAGTCGGCTGGGTCGAAATCGAAGGCTGCTCGTCAGTACCTCGTACGCTCCACTGGGAGGTACCCACTGACGCTGCCAATAGGCGCTGCGGCGGACAGAAAGAGGAAGACTAGGAAAGCGGCGGCAGGTACGGCCACGAAAAAGGTCGAAGCCAAATCAGGCGGGGCGAAAGAGGAAAAAACGGCGCAGAAACTGGAACAAGGTAATTTCTCAAAGCCACGCCGCTGAGCGATCGGTCGCGAGTACGCTGATAGAGGTCATACGCTGACAGAGGTCCAGTGATCAACTGGCCAGACTCTTTTGCTGTTTGAGGAGGCGAATTATGTTTTGTTCTTCATCGTCAATGTCTTATCAGCCAGGATTCATTACAAAAAGAGGACACATCAAGAGGTACTTTAAACACTTGAGTCTACCATTTCTCTCGTTTTTATCTATGCCCCACGTTCTTCCAGCAAGCGTGCATTTGAAGAATTTGATGACCAAGATCATCCCCGACAGCTAGCGCTTGATCAAGAAATCGAGAACGCTTGGAAGAAGCTGAAACCGAAGCTGTCCTTAGATGCCCGATGTTTCGGAGAGCGCCCAAAAGCGTCTCGAGGTATTCCAGAATTGAGAGAATCAAAGCTTTACATACTGGATTACTCCTGAGCGCTTGCAGAATTTGGTGTCCAACAGGTTTGATACTTAAACCGGAAGGATGCACAACGAAGCGACGCTCCTCTAGGTGCCGCTGGCAACAAAAGTGCCAGAATCAGCCATCCGTTTCTCATCTTATCTTCTGAGGAAGTGCTTCTCAGAGGGTCACATTCCTGTCGTTTGTCTGCCGGTTCCCATGAGGACGATTGATGGGTATTATACTTCGGCAGTCAGTAACACCCATTTCGCTTTAAACCGGTAGGAGCTGACTCCACTATCATGCAGGTAACAACAATCCCACTGTTGTTTGACTTTGTTGGAAATCATGCTGCAGCACCATAGTGTGTTGTAGCTACCCAGCAGGTGGCAAATTAGCATGGGCTTCACAAGGTATATAAGTAGCCTACATACCACTCCATAGCTAATCAATCCTTCAACCTTTCATCAATACCAATAGACTTCGCCACCATGAACCATGCCAAATTTTTCTGATGATGTCTAAGAAAGAGCTCAAAGACCTGCTGAAGGAAACAAAATTCCTTGGCCAAAAGTGAGGAACAGGCTCGCCGTGGCTCAGAAGTTGATCGAAGCGGAAGGGCAACCCCTCACTGTTCACATCAAAACCCCGAGAGATAGGAACATGTGTACAGACAGCCCGACGAAGATGGCAGACGGAAATCCAAACGATCCAGACCACATTAGATGGTTTCCACAGCTACGTCTTCCTTACCGCAGGCACTGATGACAAAGAAGGCTTGGGTGAAGTAACCATTTGGTCTATCTGAAAGGCTGACTCAAACCCTCCCTTGTTCTCAACAACACGAATCTCTGGGGACCGCTTCTACAGAAGAAAGAGCGGTGTTTACTCCCATCGTCTTCCTGTTCGTTCTCCTGACCAGTTGCTACTGCATACTGACAGATTTTCTAAGCGGCACCCTCAGTACTATTTGCTAGTAGTCGTATTGCACGCGATTGCTCTCTGTGTTTGAAAAGTCAAGCTGGCATTTGCCAAAAACGACTCTTCCTCACACTCAAAGTCTGTTATCATGCTTCTGATACGGGAAGAACCTCTCTTTTGTCACACAATATCTAGTGGACGAGACTACCTTTTCGTGAACTTTCGGAACAGCCAGGTCAGAGCGGCTGTTCATGATATTTCGAGGCAATTAATCAGCTCATGTTGCCTCGGCGCCGATCGAAGCCCGTCCGCAGATCAACTTCTCGACTCCATCGAAGACAATGGCATGAAGCAGGTCATAGCTTTCACAAGTTGAAGAGGGACCTTACGAGAGAATCAAAGCATATGATTCGGCATGCATGTTACTCCAAGAAGATAAGTGGCCGCCTTGGAGCACAGGGTAATCTGCATCTCTCTTTTGACGATACGGAAGCCAAGGGCGAACACCATGAGGCTCGAGGATCGGACGGAATGAGTACAGCCTCATACAAGACAACGACATCTTCCACATCCACTTGCCGCAATTGTATCGAGGAAGAGATACTATCTCAAATAGCGGGCACGCATATCGTATCATAGCATTCAAACAGACAACTCTAGAGTATTCGAGTAGTAATTATGATTGCGTTTGATGATCGAGGGAGTTTTCCAGATATTCGCTGTCTTATTACTCTCGAACTTCCTCATACTACTACGTCTAAGGAAACCGAGTATTCAGATATATATTAAAGATAAATAACTTTAATAATGTAAAATAAGTATAAATATTAGTTCTTATAAGGGCTTTTATTATATAAATCTTATTATTATAATACTTATATTCGCTTACTTCTTAATAAGAAATAATAAGATATTTTATAGTTAATATAGAAATTAATATCTTAAGCGCTATTTAAAAGAATCGAACGTCGAGATTCTAGATTAATTACTAAGAAGATTTATTTTAAGATTCTTTAAAGTAATACTTATATTAGTATATATAAAAGAATAAGATAAAACTAAGCTTGAAAATCTTAAATTTATATGTATAGCCAATTATAAATTTAGAATTACTACGCTCTTTAATTAGATCGACTAAGTTATTGCGAATAAATAATTAGCGTTCGCAATTATTAAAAAATAGATATATATTATTTAATTTTAAAATAACTTTTTTATTTTCTATTAAAATTTTGAGATTTTTTTTTAATTATAGAACAAAATATAAGCTTTTAGAATAAAAAAAAAATTAGTCTTATAATTATTAAAGCGTAAGGTATTTAAATATCGCTTATTAAAGTTCGCTTACTAAAGATCGCTACTCGATAGCTCTAATTAAAAAAAAATTATAAATTTAATTTATAGACCTTTACTCGTAAGTTTATATTATAATAAGTTTTATTAAAATTTTAATATATATATAAGTAAATAATAACTCTAGTAATATAAAATAAATAAAAGCGTCGAGTTTCTAAATTAAGAATTAAGAAAAAATTAATATTAATCGATTTAAAAAGAAAATCTATACTCGATTACTCTTATTAAAAGTTTCTTAAAACTATTAAATATTATGAGTGAAGGCCTATGAATTAAATTCATAATCATTTTTTTAATTAGGGCTATCGAGTAAGTAGGTAAGCGATCTTTGGTGAGCGAACTTTGGTGAGCGATATTTGAATTCCTTGCGCTTTAATAACTATAAGACTAAATTTCAAAATCGTTAAAAATTCGGAAAGCACAAATAGCCCTTCAAAATTTAAAAAAAACATCTCAAAATTTTAATAGAAACAAAAAAGTAATTCTATGTGTCAATAATGTACACCTATTTTTTTGATAAGGGAGGCGTGGGAGGGCGAGATTTTGATGGTTGCGGACGCTAATTTATTTACCCGCGATGAGTTAGCCGGTCTAGTCAAAAAGCGTAGAGGACCCAAATTGATAATTGGCTGCACATATAAATTCAAGGTTTTCAAGCTCAGCTCTATCTTATTCTTTTATATATACTTATAATAAAATAAGAGATTAATATTTAAAGTTTTATAGTAAATATTAACGATAAATAAAATAGATCTTAATAATATTAAAATATATCGTTTAAATAACGATACTTATACTCTCTAACGTCTTAAAAGATTTTATAAAATTATTTAAATATTATATCGAAATAAGTAAGTAATATAAAAAGATTTAATAGAGATATCGTTAAGATATAAATAATATATAAAATAAAGAAATAGAAATTAATTCATAACGTTTTTAAAAATTGCTTATATACTCGCTTATACTTAGTAAGTATTTCTTATATCTATTTAAATATAATCTGAAAATAAGCGAATAGAATAATAAGAATTTATTAGATAATCGTTAAAATAGTAAGAAGAAATTAAGAAAGTAGAAATTAATTTCTAACGTCTTAAAAATAGCCTCTATACCCGCTTATACTTAGTAAGCATTTTTCATATCTATTTAAATATAATATAAAAAAAGTTATAAATTTAATTTATAGGCCTTTACTCGTTTTAATAGAAAATAGTAAAGTTATTAAAGAATTAAAAGTATATCTGCAAATCTGAAAAATTAATTTCCGCACAATTTTCGCTAGGGTTCGCACGATCAGCACGATTTAGCCTATTTAGCAGACTTTACTTATATTTAAACTCTTTTCGTCAGTTCTATTAGTTTAGCAACTTTAAAAAATTTTAATAACTTTAAAAATTTTGCGTAATATACTCTAATATACTTTAAGTATTATTCTATATATATATAGTATTAATATATATTATTATTAATATACGCATTATTATACGCTATATTAAAGTATTATCTACGCGACTAATTTTATTAAATCATCTAATTCCATAGCTAAATTTAAGTTAACGTTAATACTTATTATCGTAAAATCTTACTATCGCAACGTTAATTATTAGAATTTTTCTTTTTTTATATATATTACTATTAAACTAATAGAACTAGCGAAAAAGATTAAAATAGTTACTAAATCGGCGGAATTTAAGCGAATTCTAATTAGATTTACTAATTCGACGAATTTTATAATTTCCACGACACACGCGCGATTAGCAATTTCAAATTTTGTAGAAACTTTTTAGATTTGCAGATATAGAGAAAGAGATTTTTAATAGTTACGAACGCTAATTTATATACTCGCGATATTTAATTAAAAAGCGTAGATCTAACGAATTTATAATTAGCTATATATATAAATTTAAGATTTTTAAGCTTAGCTTTATCTTATTCTATTATATATACTAATTTAAAAATAAGCGAATAGAATAATAAGAATTTATTAAATAGTTATTAAAATAGTAAGAAGAAATTAAGAAATTAGAAAATTAATTTCTAACGTCTTAAAAATAACTCTTATACCCGCTTATGCTTAGTAAGCATTTTCTATATCTATTTAAATATAATTTGAAAATAAGCGAGTAGAATAATAAGAATTTATTAGATAATAATTTAAATAGTAAGAAGAATTTATGAAATAAAGAAATTAATTTCTTACGTTTTAAAAATGGCTATAATATTCGCTTATGCTTAGTAAGTATTTTTCATATCTATTTAAATATAATTTGAAAATGAGCGAGTAGAATAATGAGAATTTATTAGATAATAATTAAAATAGTAAAAATAAATAAAGAAATTAATATCTAACGTCTTAAAAATGGCCTCTATACCCGCTTATGCTTAGTAAGCATTTTTCATACTTATATAAGTATAATT